CTTTTTTTCAGTGTTTTAACGCCATTAGTGGTAGTGGTGGCCAACCATTAGATACCTACCCCCATACATACACACACCCATCACATGACTGGGCAATTCACCACCAATTACAACCAAATATTTTTTAAAAACACAATAAAATTTATATATATATATACTGTAGTATTTATTTTTTTATATATTAAGACAAAGTTCATTACCATTTTAGTGTATAGTAAAGTGTATGTGTGTATATAACAAATAGTATTTAAAAATTCAAGTTTAAGAGAGAAAAATCTTTTTTAAATATATATAAAAAAAACATTTGTATTTTGTGTGCAAGTTTTTTGTGCCCATAAAATGTGTGATCGTATTATTTATTAGTGGAAAAAAACTAATATAATGTCACTATAATATACTGTACTGTATATAATGAGCCGTAAATAAATATAACAAAATAATAATTATAAAAAAAGTAATAGTAATTATAATTATACAAAACTATATATATATATATATATGTAGCATAGATAACGTGACCAAAAAAAAAATTTTTTTGTTTCATAGTCGCACTTTTCTGGGAAAATTGTTTAAACAAATAATCATAAAAATTTGTTTTTAAGAAAAAATTAATGTTATTTTTTCATGAATTATATTTTATTTTACTATTTAGTTTTTTTTAAAGAAAAAACTGTATTTTGTTGACTACTACTGCTTCTACCGACACCAACAAACATATATATATATAAGTAAATTATAATCAACACTAACACAAAAAAAAGTTAAACCATTTATAATAACTCTTGAAAATGCTATACCTCTCTCTCTCTCTCTCTCTCTCTCTCTCTCTCTTATATATATATATAGACCTTAGGGCTTATATATATATTTTTCTTCATATATTTCAAGGCTATGGGAAAATTGAAGTCAACTAACTATAGAGAGACACATAACTATAATAATAATCAAAACACATCATATAATATATATATACTGTATATATAATAATAATACTAATAATAAAATATTAGTTACAATACAAAAGCAACAGTACAGGGATGACACCCAATCCACCACTCATTTTCATTATGGATTTATTACAGTATTATTATTATTATTGTATTCAATTGTGTGAGAGAGAGACTAACTTAACTTAACTAATAATAATAAACACCAAAATAAAATAACAAAAAACCTTTTTTACATAAATCATCAAATAGTATATATATATATATATATATAATATAAATATTAATATTAATCGTTATACAATTATATATGATTGTATATATATATAGTGTATAATAGTACGTAATATATAACATCTATTGCTATCTCTTAAGTTTTTTTTAAATATTCATTTTTAACATTCAATTATTCAAATCATTTAAATAATAAATTCAGTATACATTGAAATTTATGAATTCAATTGACGCTAATTATAGACCTCTCTCTCTCTCTCTCTCTCTCTCTCTCTTTCTTCACCATAGATTGAACCCCGAAATAAAAATATATGATTTTTATGACAAATTTTTCGGTGCCATTCATTGGCTCAACAATTATACAGCATATATAATCGTCTTATTTATTATCGTTATTATATTGCTAACCATTTTTATTATTATTAATATTAATATTATTGAATTTATTATATTAATATTATTACTTTAATAATAATTGGTATATAACTAACTAACTGCTATACAATAATTATTGGTATGAAATGCTAAATGTCTTAAACAAAACAAAAAAAATATATTTGAATTTTTATTTTAGATTATATTTCACTTTCAGTGCAAATTGATACCTAAAAATACATCCATTACAATGTGTTATACAATTTTTATGTACAGTATATATATATGTGAGTCATTAAATGTCAGATAATTTAAAGACACACACACACACACACACACAAAAAAGTTTCACATTTATATTTTTAATACAGTATTATAATAAAAATATATTTAAATTAAAAAAATATATATATTATGAATCATGGCTTGAAAATTGCATATTTTTAGTTTTACTAAAACTTTTAGTTATTTATTTTTATTATTATTAAAAAGATATATATATATATATATATATATATATATTCCTAGTATACACTCTCTTAATAAATCTTAATTTATTTTTAAGAGATTGAGTTTTTTTTTAAAAAAAAGAAAATGCTATAAATAAATGTATAATTAATTGATCGATAATGCGATAATAATAATTTAAAAACAAAAAAATACGGTTTGTATAACACAAATAGTAATAATAGACTCATTATGAAATAGTTTATAATAATAATTTTAATTATGGAGAGGAAATAACATAATAATTAGTTTTTTTTGGTGAATAAATAAATAATAATTAAACAATTTTTTTTAAATTAAATTTATATATAGTTTATATATGTTTTTTTCTCTCTCTGATGCTATCGTTTATATTATTTATTTAAATTATTATCAAAAATTAGTTGTAAATATTAATAAATAGTAAAAACATTTTAAATAGTACTGTATGTATGTATGCTTTGACGTCAATGGCAAATATATAGTACACTATTAATAACAAAATTACTATTAATTATGTACTAATAATAATAATAATAATAATCACAATTTCCATTCAAAACCAAATAGATAGTACAGTACTTACTATACACTTGTATTTATTTATTAATGAATTATTATTAATGAAATCAATCAATAAATTTTACCATTAAATACAGATAACATATTTGTCAAGCAATTATTGGACAGTCCTAACATATAGCATATGTATCCCAATTTTTAGGGATAACTATTAACATGTATTTATTTTACAGTATATATATATATACACGAGTTTCCAAGTCTGTATATCATATCTATTATGTCTATAAATAAATTTATTAATAATAATAATAATAATCAGAAAAATAGTGTCAAACAAAAATTATGAATAATATAATTGCTGTTGACATACATTATATCTATCAATTATTTTTTTTATTTTGATAATAATTTATATTTAAAAAAAACTTATTGATGAGTGATATATATATAAATTTTTGATAAATACAATATATCATAATAATTTTTTTTGTGTTGAATATATTGTATACATAGTAGTCAATGAATCGTGAATAGTAATAATAATAATAATAATCAAAGTGATGGTTATGTATGTAATGGTTGGAAACAATAACAACAAGAGAGAGAGAGAGAGAGAGAGAGAGAGAGAGAGAGAGAGAGAGAGAGAGAGAGAGAGAGAGAGAGAGGTACCCCTAACAGAGGACACCAACATTAGTTCCATACATAGTTTAAAGACATGTTGTCTTCAAATTACAATATATTCAATAAATATATATATATATTATATATACAGACAATATTAGACAAGACATGTTATGTTAGTTCATGCAGTTTGTGTGCCATTCATTCATTTTTACCATTCATTCATTGATATATTTTTTTGTTGTTGAAGAATAAGAAAAATAAACGAAGAGAATGAACTCAACCTAATCTCAAGGTTAGGGACAGAGAGAGAGAGAGAGAGAGAGAGACCACAAAAAATTGCATCTCAAAGATATATATTTATATATAATGTTTCCATATACTGAATATATATATAAATTTTGGCTATATTTGGGACGAGAGTGTAATTCACTGACTGTTGTTGTTGTTGTTGGGAATGGCATATAAAAAGGGCTTTCTTTTTGTGGCCGACAGACGCTTTGTGGCCAACACTACAACACTTGTAGTAATAATAATAATAATAATGGAGTGGAGTCTCAACTGTTAAGTCAATGAATACTACTATCTCTCTCTCTCTCTCTCTCTCTCTCTCTCTCTCTCTCTTTATGTGTATGTACTGTATGTCTAATGTCTTTTCCATCCAAACCTCTCAATGAATGACAAACAGGTTCTTCACTTATACATTACATTACACTTAAAGCCCCAACACTACTATCATAATAACAAAACAACAATATTATGTGTGTTTTAGTTTTACTGTATATCCAATATATTATATACAATTCAATATACAGTATATTCTGACATAAGATTCACTAAACAATAAGAAAAACTTATTTTTTTATAAATATAATATATTATAATATGTTTTTTCTCTCATTTTATTGTGACTCATGAAAAAACTGGTCGCATATTTTCGCTTATATCGCATATAAATGACAATAAAAAATTATATAAATATATATATATAAAGTCAATAAAAAAACAAAATTCAAATCTACAATAAAGAGAAAAAGAGAGAGAAACATATAAATAATATATTTAGGCATTTAGTAAATTATAAATCAATAAATTATCATATAAATGATATAAAACATTATATAAATATATACATATATTTTTAATACCTTATTATTCAATGAATATTATACTATAGTGTATATATCATATAATAACTTTTTTATTACATTATACTATAGTTATTTATATATATATATATACAGTATTTTATATTTTGTTTATGAGATTAAATCGCTATAACTTCTGGCTATGAAAATGTTATATGAAAAATAAGATTATATTTTGATTAAAATCTCTTTTATAGTCCAATATAAGTAAATATTATATATATATATAACATATAATATACAGTAATAAATATAAAAAGCTAGTCTGAAATATGAAATAAATTGAAAATAATTTGTTTTCATATATATATATTACTTATGCTGTATATATATATATATATATATATATACAGCTATATATTCTTGTATTTATATATAAAGTAGACCAGAATTTACGCCAATAATAAAAGATACGCTAAGCTTATGTAGAGTATGTGTATAGTTATGTGAAACGCGAGAGCGAGTCTCAAAAGTGTGGGAAAGTCTGGTTATGTGAGTGCGAGTATGTGTTTTAAAACATACATACAGTCACACATACAACTCATATAATATATATATACCCCATAGTTATTGTGAGCGCTGGCATATAATATATAATAATATTACTGTACTATTGATAAAAATGTCTTTTTTTTGAGAGAAAATCTGGTGTGAATGGACTCACCCATTGAGGAGCTGCTGCTCTCTTCCAATAGATCGCTCATTGAGGGAACCTTTTGCATGGGACTGTTGGGTCCCATATATAGCCGATAGGACCGGGAGGAGGAGGAGGAGGGCGGCGGTGGGGGCATATTATCCGTCTCGTCCAGGCAACAGACCTTTCTCACCTTCAATTGTTTACTGCCAACACCACCACCGTTACTACCATTGACACCATTGACCCCACTATAGCAGCGATGATGATGTCTCATGAGATCCATAGCCACCGGCCATCTAGTGCTAGCCATTAAACGATAGAGTCGGTCGATAATACAAACGATTACCGTTTATATTGTATGTCGTCTATCAATAGACACAAATAGTTTTTAGAAAGTTAACACATATTATATATATATATATACAGTAGTACTGTATAATACACATAAGTAACTGTCCTTTTAAAAACATAGTATGATATCATATATACATTTATTACTTTTTTTAAGAGAGAGATTGATATTTATAGATTGATCTCTCGTAGTGTTTATATACACTACACATATTCACAAATACATTATACATCATAGCCTTACAAACTAAATAAATATGTCGACTATTTTTATGGACTTTCTTTCATTCATTTTTAAGCACTGATAGACATATCGGCTATATTTATATACAGTATATATAAATTATATATGTATTGACTTTATTATTATTATTATTAAACAGTATATTTTCTTTACTAATATTGTTTGTAATAATACTAATAATAATAATAATATCACTAATTATTTATCAGAAATGTTATCAGTAAAAAATAATAATAATAAAAACGGTATTTATTATTATAAAAAAAAAGTATTGAAACAAAATTATTGAATGAATATATATATATAAATGATAATAATTGAAAAATATTATTTTTAAAAAAATCATTTTAATTATAAACCTGTTATAATTAATGAGATTACTATTAGTGAAAGAAATACAACTAACTATACATATATGATATGATATTTTTTAATATAATATAGTATTTAGTTAGTCTTTATTTTAAAATAAATTATATATATATTATATATTAATATATGATATAAATTATTATTCAATGCTATTGAAAAAAGGCATTTTGATTTGCCAGCGATAAGTACCAATATTTTTCAATAATAATAATAATAATAATAATAATCAAGTTTCTGTATTAAAGCAATGAATTGGTAGAAATTAATATTTTAATAAAATAAAACTAAAAAAAACTAATACAGTATTAGTTGATAAATAAAATAAAATCACAAGTTTTTATTATGAATAATATTAGTAAACTAATTAAAATAATAATTGTACTAAAAGTAGTTTATACTAGTTTTTGTAATGTTGTCTATCTATCTATCTATCATTCAATGAATGAATGAATTTTAAAATATATAGTAATACTATTAATAATAATAATAATATCAAACAAAAATTTAAATGAAAACAATTTATTAATTAATAAAAATAAGTGTTTAAATATAATAGGAATATATATATATATATATCAAACTTATAAGACATACCCAAAATTGTGATTCAATAGGTTTTTATTAGACAACAATATTTTCAGTTCAAAAAAAACAAACAAATGTGGTCTTCAAAAGTCTATTGTCTTCAACCAATGTCTTCAACAATAACTACCATATCTTCAACAACAACAATAAAAAACATAGAAAACAACAAAACAAAAAATGAAAATACAATATATTAATGTTTAATATTGACAATAAAAATATATAATTAAAAATATAAATCATATAATAATTCATACATTTATAATGATATCGTTGTCGACGACCAATAATTCATTCATAATGTTGGTGTTGTTGTTGTAATGTATTAAATAATACTTAAATTTTTATAGTGTAGTAGTGATAGTGTTTTTATTTTGTGAATGAATGCAATGTTAATAATATTAAGAGTCTCTTCACTATCGATGTGTTGTTTTATTATACGGTTTTATACAGTAATATACAGTATATATATATATATATAAGTTGTTTGACGTCTAGAAAAATATATAAAAGTAATATTCATTCAGTCAGTCATTCATACATTTCATTACATGTATTAATAATATAAACACTTTATATGAAGGGATAGGGCATAGGCTATAGCATAGCAATGTTATATCAAATGCAAACGATTTTTAACAGTACAGTAAAGTAATAGCACAGACACAACAAACCCCAACCAAAAAAAAAACCAACAGTTTGTTTGGTTAGTTTAGTTTGTGAGGCACTGGGCATCACTTGTGCGCATCTCTAGTGTGTGTGTGAAACACTTTAACAGTCAAGTTTGTGGACTGTTAGCTATGGTGGTGAGGCATAAATTTTCAGCAAATATTTTTCGTATTCAATACAATTGTACTAAACTTTCTTAAAGAGAGAGAGGATAGAGTGTCTGTATGTGTGCATCGCTAGACAGCACCACATCGACCATCACTACTACTACTACTTGTTTACAGTGCCCTAACCAACACCCATATCATACTACCCCATCTCAACTGACAGTTCACATACTGATACAGTAATACTCTCTCTATCTTACTTTCCCACTCTCTCTCTTTCTTTCTCTCTCTCTCTCTCTCTCACACACACACACACACTCTCACTCACCCACGAAAAATAGCCTACTTTTTGGGGTCTGAATACTAGCACTTGTAGATTTTTATAGACTGACCATATGGACAGTTGAATTTTCCCACACACACACACACACACACCAGTGTATGACACATTCATATGCATAGTAAAAGCTGTCGACAATGTGTGCACCTTGATGTATTCATTATTCAATCACAATAGAGGAACGGTAGTATTATATATATATGTACCTATACTCTTACTTTTACCGTACAATGACTGTTACTTTTATGTTGAGATGAAATTTTTTCGGAGGGGGGGGGGAGTGGGTCAATGGTCTAAAATTTGTCATGCATACTTAACTTATGCTAAGCAGGGCTCACTAACAATACAATACTATGACTGTCCAACAGATAATACTGTACATTCAGATTATGAACATCTAGGTTATACTGTAGGTTAGATAGTTTGTTACAGTTAGGTTGTACTGTATTTTTTTAATATCAATGAATTTTTATTTTATTAATTAATTAATAAAATAAAAAATAATAATTAATGTCCTAATTAAAATCAAGTTATCAATAATAAATAAATATAAATATATAAGTATATATATATATAAACAAATATTTGTTTTATCATTAGTTTTTGTATTATATCGTGTATTATATTATAAGTTACGTGTATAGATGTATTAATAATAATAATAATTATTAATTATTATTATTTATTATTATTATAAAAAATAGACATCAATATTTATAAGTTATTATAAAAGTCTACGTGTATTAAAGTATATAATCATTATATTCTACTGTTATATACTATGTTACATAACATAACTATATGTTTAGATAAATTTCATATCAAAATTATACTAATTATTAACTATTTGTTGTTGTTGTTTTTTTTGTTTAATTTAATAAAAAATAATTATGAAACAAACAAAAAACAAATTAACAAAATAAACATATGAAATATAAATTTTTTGAAGTTATTTTTTTATTATTTGATTGCATTGTAATACAATTATATATTTAAATTATATATATATACTGTATATTGTTATAATACATAGAATGTTATACAATAATATCATATTAATTATAGTTCAATATTAGGAAAGATAGTATTTTTTGAGTAATGATTATACGAGTCGTTATGATGATGATTGTGATGGTGATTGTGATGATGATGGGGAAGTGATACATGATGTGTGGCCGATGCCGATAGATTGGAGCACAGATTGGCAGTTGCGGCCATCGGATTTGACCAGTAGGTCGGCGACGATGGAAATATGGGACCAGAATTGGGCGACGATATACTGGCAGCCGCTCCGTGAACGGCGGCCGCAAAGTTCAAGTGTTTGGCTGTCGGACTGCCATAGGGAAAGCCTGGATGAGACCGGTGGTGCAGAAACAGGTCGGTAGTGGTCTGGTAGGCGCTGTTGTAGGCCGTGTGATCCGGTGTGGGCGGTTGGGTGGCCTGAGCTAAGCCCTAATATTTTTTTTTTAAATAGTAATTATAATAATAAATTGAATTAATTTTTATGAGTTCAACATCTATAGTATAGACTACTCTCCCCAACACATTAACCCAATATTATTAACAGTATTATTAGCACTTTATAGCTTATATACCTGAAAATCAAATTTGTATGCATATCTCTTTCCATGTACCTTGCTCATTATGTTTTTATCGTAATAGTATCTCAATGCACGGCTCAGTTTGTCGTAATTCATATTTGGTTTACTTTTTCTTTCACCCCAACGGCGCGCAACTTCATCTAAAAATTATATAATAATAATACAGTATTAGTATATAAAAAACAAACAAACATTAAGCATAGTTAGTTAGTTAGCCTGGAAAAAAACAATAACCTGGATCAGTTAGCTTGAATTCACCATTGGTTCCCTCCCATGTTATACAATTGCCGTTAGAGCTATCTTGCAATAATTCAAGCAAAAATTGCCACAATTGTATTTGACCGGATCCTATATAGTTGAAGATCATAATCATATTTAATATATAGTTATAAACATTATGGATATTGTGATAATATTTATTTTTTTAAATATATTAATTGAATTAATTATAAATATAAAGTGATTTTTAAAATTATATGATATATCTTAATCTTAATATTTTGCAATACTTTGTACAACACTATTGACATTTTAAATAATGTTTATATAAATATATGAATTTATATATTATTTATCATGTATTTTAAATATAACTAATTATTCAAGCTATTCATATTCATATTATTATATTATAAACTCTATTTAGTAAACACTTATACAAAACAAAAAATATGTTTACTGTAAGGTAACACTTATCTTATTTTTTAATAATTTTTATTTATTAAATAAATAAATATATATACAGTATATACTAGTAATTTATATTTAAAATGACATGCAACAAAATGATATATTATTAACATTGGTGAACACATAAGGTTAATAACATTGAAATAACTTGTTTTTAATATATATATATATATATATATATATATATATATATATAAATTATTTGAATTGATTCTCTCTCTCTCTCTCTCTCTCTCTCTCTCTCTCTCTTTCTCTCTTTTATTTTTTCACACACTCATTATGCAATATTTACAATGTATTTACAAATACTATGTAATCATTGTATAGGTACAGTACAGTACAGTACACAGGTATATACATAAAAAAAATTTTATCAATATAATGAATCAGTAAAGCATAAATCACTTTTTTTTGAAAAAAAATATTATTATTATTCATTCATTATTATTAACATAAAAAAACATGAGATAATAAATATAAATATATATATTTTTTATATGCATATATATATATATATATTAAGTATATATAAAATTTATAAGTATATATACCTGTAGTAGTCAAACGTTGTGTCGATGCACCAAATAGTGAATATGGATCTTTATGGAGATTTAAACACAAAAAATATAAAATAATGATAAAACATAAAAATAAGAAAATAATTAATTTGTTAATAATAATAATGATAAGTAGTATAATCGTATAATCTTCTATAGATAGATAGATAGATAGATATATAGATAGATAGATAGATATACTGTATAAAAACTAATTATTTAATAATTTTTTTAAAAAATTATTATTACCTTGATTTTGAATTTGACGTGAATTGCAATTTTGGCTGTCATTTTGTTGTTGACTAATTGTAGTATTGGTTTTGGTATCTGATAAATATTAACATATTTTTTTTGTTTTGTTTAAATAGTTTACAATAAATTTGATTAATTATTTTATTTAATAATTTATTGATTGATTGATTTTTTTAAAAATTTTAGTTTGTTATTAATACTAATAATAATATATTGAATTTACAGTACTGTACTATATATATATATAAATTTATAAAACTAACTTGAATTTGTCAAAACATTTTGTGTGTTTGAAATTTTGATACCATTAGTGCCAATACTATTAGCCATTGGTGACCAATTGGCTTTTCTCAATGTATCACTATATGACGATTCTGTGTGTATTTAAAAAATTTAATAATAAATAATATTTATTTATATAAAACAATTATTTATTTATTTAAAAATCTATTTTACATTATTATTATTATTATTGATAAACTAAATATATATACATATAAATAATTATTTTTTGAAAAAATTATAAACAAAAATTAGTTGTGAAATTTTAAACATTTATATGTAAATTATAAATACAACATATAATTAAATATAAGAGACTATTTTTGGTAAATTAATTGTAATTAATTCAATAAAAAACAACAAAAATTGTTATTAAATATAAAAATATAATTAGCTAAAAAAAACATAACACACAAAAAAAATAATTTAAAAATTGCAGTTTTTTTATTTATATATATATATACTTATTTTGTTTATTATTTGCTTATTCCAGCAAACTTTTGGCATAAATTTTACAATTAATTTTTCCATATCTTTTACAAAATAATTATAATTATAAAATTTATTTATAGTTAAATATTTATGCAGAGAGAGAGAGAGAGAGAGAGAGAGAGAGAGAGAGAGAGAGATTGAAAATATTATTAAAGTCATTGTAGTGAAGAGTGTTTTACAGACTCACCCGAATAGAGCATCATTTGAATAGTGTGTTTGGATAAGAGATTTATTATTTAATATAAAGTTATTAATTTAAGATAAACTATATATACATTATTATTACAATATTATTATAATTAGATAACAGAGATTAGATGTCTATTAATTTAATAAATATATATATATACACACAAAACATTTCATTAGTTAGTTATATATATATTTGTTGGTTTATAGTTAAAACATCACATAAGAAATTATTTTCTAAAAGATTGTATTTTTCTCTCAGCGGAAAAAATCATTTGATACAAAAAATATTTTAACATTTAGAGTATATATATATATAAAGACATTAGTGTTGTGATGACCGCTACTGATTTTGCACTTTATATATATACAGTATATATCTATATATTTATAAAACAGTATATTTATAATAAAGAAATTAAATGATGGTTTAGATGCCGAATCTTTTTTGCCAATAGTTTTCATCTCTCTTTCTCTCTCTCTCTCTCTCTCTCTCTCTCTCTCTCTCTCTGAGTTAGACACAAGATATTGATGTCATGTCTCCAATGAGAAGCCGGAGATTGTTAAGCAAACGTCAAGTTCCGCCTATTTTTAGTTTAGTTGTTTGCTTTCGGAAAAGTAGGCAATCAGTGCACATTCTATGATACAGTATGTGTGTGTGTTATGTAATGTGTTGTTAACACTTTCACATAGCACTACTCATCTCTCTCTCTCTCTCTCTCTCTCTCTCTCTCTCTCTCTCTCTCTCTCTCTCTCTATTGGTTTCACACATTTGACGGTATAATAAATAGTTAGCTATAACTAAAAAAAAGCTAGACATTTTCAGATTAGGACTGTTCACATAGTATTAAATAGTAGATATTTTCATATAATACAGTATACAGTATATTGAGAGAGAGAGAGAGAGAGATACAGAGATAGAGACTCTTATAAATGTTATGATAGTTTAGCGGTTTGTTTTCCATAACCTAATATTTTACAGTATATACATATTATACATATCTATCAAGATTTATAGTCTCATCATTTTGACTATACAAGAGAGTCAAACACCAATAGGTTATTATACAATAATATATATTTCTATGGATATAATAGCTTATATATGTTTCAATGTTTGTGTTAGAGATGAGCTCTCTCTCTCTCTCTCTCTCTCTCTCTCTCAGCATTTATGTCACACATATTTTCAGACCTAATAAGCATATTATGTTAAATATTGGATATTACAGTACTCTCTTTCTTTCATTCATTCACATGAATTACCATTGAAGTGTCATAGATTTTATGCCACTTTATTATTGTTATTATTATTATCATGATTATGGGACCGATGATTGAGCGCCTATATTACTGGCGCTCTCCTCCAGTTGATAATAGCGATTAGGATTCACACCGTATATATACAGTACATATCTATCTCATTGACTATATTGGGATCAGTTGCTCAATAATATATCAATCACGGCTATCATTATATATATAGTTAAATATATTAAAAGCTGATACAATAGGCTGCCTATTCAGCTGTATTTACATATCTGCTAATAGATTATATGAAAGAGAGAGAGAGAAAGAGAGACTGGATGTCATGTAAAGTATATTATAGCTCTCTATATGTAAGCATACGGTTAGAAAACAGTGTTTCCAATTGTATGCCTCACTATATAAACACAATGACTATGAATCTAAGCGGACAATGAAAAAGTCAATACATTTATACAGTATATATATTTATATATATATATATAGTGATAGAGAAATGAAAGGCATATTAAATTTAAATTTAAATAATAATAATATTAAAGTGATTTCAGAGCAACAACAGTAACAACAAAAAAAATAACAGAAAGTCAATTAATACATTTAAATTACTTTTTATTATACTGTTTTTTATTATGTAATATTCAAGTTATAAACTGTACAGTATATGTGCGAAGCCATACATGGGTGATGAAAACGGTTAGTCTTGGTTATACCGAAAATAAATAATATTAAAAAAAAATTTGTGTAAAATCAATGTATGCTATATGTGCTCATTGACCGCTTCCTTCCTGCAATTTTTGCCCATTTAAAAAAAGGCAACTGTTTATCAGCAACAAAAAATAAATAAATAACTAACAAACAAAAAACAAAATATACATTACATCTAAACTATTATACAGTATTATATATATATATATATATATATATATATATATATATGTGTGTGTGTGTATGTGTGTGTAGGTATTGAAAATGAGATGAAAATTTTCAATTGACTTTACTAAACAGTATACTCAGTACAGGGAGTATACTGTATATAGTCTATACATACTCCCCTGTACTCTAACAGCTTCCATGAAACTGTAGTGTGAAACACACACACACACACACACACACACACACACACACACACACACACACACACACACACACACACACACACACACACACACACACACACACACACACACACACACACACACACACACACACACACACACACACACACACACACACACACACACACACACGGTTTGTTAGGTTAAATCATGTATTTTGTTTGGGCTACTGTTATCATTATAACAATAGCCTATTTTATATACAGTACAGTATTGGCAAGTATTTAACACTAAAACTATACTAAACACTATACTATCATATCATGTGATTTTCATTTATTTTCACTCTATTTCACTATTAAAACCATAGAAATAGTAGTAAACCGTATAATAGTTGTAATAAAATGAAATCACATTTGAAATGAGCTCAACATTCAATATAATGTGTCGATAATATATATAGAAATATATATTGATATATATACTGTATATAAATAAAAAGTGAAAACAGAAAATAACTAAATTAAATTGAGATTAGATATCAGGCTTTCTAACAATTTATTATTATTATTATTATTTTCACTCTCTTTTTTTGACCATAAATTTACATAACAAATGAAAGTTTTCCGATAGATTAGGAGGTCTATTACAAAGTCAATTGCATTGTGTATTGTACTGTTAATACAGTAATACTATTGTATATGATATAATGTATAATATATTATTTATATAAAAAAATAAAAAACAATACAATAGCTTACCCGAGTTGTAGCTTGAAGTGCATTCATCATTATCATCATCGCTATCATCATAGATGTCTAAATCATCGTCCAATTTATGGCCCGAAACTGTTTGTTTGTTTTTTCAATAATTAAAAAAAAAATTAATATTCAATACTTAAAAACAGTTTTGTAAATATATATGATATTAATATTATTATATTTTATTTATATAATAAGTACTACTGTATAAAAAAAATCAACTAATTTTAATTTTATTTTTTATTTACTAACCTTTTCTCAAATGTGCTAAATGTTTGTATAGTATTTTTGCCGCTTTTCTATCGCCAATTAAATCAATAATATCCTGTTTGTGTAGTTTACATAACTCGTGGCCAGTGGTCGGAAATGTTGTCAACGATATAGATATGGACAGCGAGTCCAATGTAAATACATTTTGCGACCATAAAAGCCATTTACATATTTCATCGGAATCCCATAATAATGGATCTAATTATTATTATTTAAAAAAAAAATCAAAAAAATATGTGTTATCATTATTATCAGTTTTTTAATTTAAATTAGTCATTCACATTAGCATTATATACAATGTAATTAACATGTATATGAATGTTTATGAATTATAAACTACATATGTATTACAATTTTTTAAAAAACCATTTAACTAATAAAATAATAATTTATAAATAAATCTATATATCGGTGAAAAAATAATTCAATTACAAAATTAATGCGAAACATTGCCCTAAAAGTTCTCACCATTAGTTATACATATTTAGCTATAACATGTTATATATATATATATATATATATATATACTGTATATACAGTATACACTTAAAATATATTATGAACAATACTGTAATTATTATAATATTTATTATTTTTAAAAAAATAATAAATAGTGTGTGGGTTTGGGATCGGCACTTATGATACCCCAGTATTAAATCAATGTATAATAATACTGTATATATATATATATATATATAAATAATTGATATAATTTTTAATGCAAATTTATTCACCAGTTTTTTCTTATATTTTATATTATGATATATATATAAAAATATTTTCTCACGAGAATCATCACACAAACATCAACAACAAACACAAAATTAAAGGGTTAGTAAATGTATTAACAACAACAACAAAATCATAATATTTGTAAATAAAAAATAAAATAAATCAATTCAAATAGTATTGCAATTCAGTCATATAATAGCCTATACTGTAAAAAGGTTAGGGAAAGAAAAAAACACATTTGTCTGACTAATACTAATAATAATAATAATATACATCATATCATATATAGATTTATATAACATATAGAAACTGTATATCACTTCCTCCCTCCACCTCTCAGTCACGACTCTCTCTCTCTCTTTCTTTCAGGTAATCGGAGTTATAACTTATAACTCCCGGCGCTCTCTGTCTTTCCAATAAAACAGGGTGTGGACAATATGGTGGCACCGATTGGCTTATTACCACTTGAACTACATTTTCTCCTTTATCAGTGAAGAGAGAGAGAGAGAGAGAGAGAGAGAGAGAGAGAGAGAGAGAGAGAGAGAGAGACAATCAAATGATTATCAACCGATACGGATGTTCATCGAGAGTCCTATCAATCTTTACCAGCGATTAAAGCGGACCAATGCTCCCGAAGAAGCACTGGAAGCACGATTTCGCTGTGGGCTTCTGGGTGTGGGCTCTGGTATCTTACATGAGAGGTGGCTTTTCACTCAACTAAAAAAAACTAAACTATGTTTGGTATGATATTATTAAATGAAAGCATTTACTAAAAAAATAATGTATTTTTAACATCTAAATCCGTTTACATTTTCATCTCATTTAACTTTCTAATAATAACAATACTAGAACTACTACTACTACTGTTATATGCAATTTAATCATATATAATAAAATTTGTTTATTTTTTAGATCAATTTGTTGTTAAGTTATGTTCATTTTACTAGTAATTTCATAATACTAATTATTATTCAATGTCTAGTAATATTAATTAAGATCCTTGTACTGTATATTACAGATACTGTGTGTATGTATGTGTGAAAGAGAGAAAGAAAGAAAGAGAGAGAGAGAGAGAGAGAGAGAGAATTGTGAGAAATAAATAATTTTTTAAATAAATGAATTTCAGTGTAACTAAAATAATAAGCGTTTTGTATTATATAATTAAAATTATTAATTTAGTCCCGAATAAAGCTATGTATATCACAAAACAAAATATTTTTTTATAATTTTAGTAACCAATAAATAATAAATACATTAAAATAATTTATAATATAGATATTAATAATGTTATTTGGATAAAGTACTATTTATATTAGAAATAAAAAATTACATTTTTTTAGTTTATTTATTTTTAAATTATTTTATTGAAAAATATTAAAGTGTAGTAAAATATTTTGTCCAAAAACTAATAATTATTTTTAAATTTTTTTGTTGTTGTTATAAATATTTAATGAAAATATTAAATACTATTTATCTGCCACAACCTCTAAGTCAAACACTATATACAGTGTAATAAATAGTGTAATAATAGACACAATAAGTAAATAATAATAAAAATGTTATTTAATTAAAAATAATACATTTCATAAATGTTTTCATGAATAGCTTATGGAATATAATTTAATTATATTTGTTTGGAGTTCAATGATAATTAATATAACGTATTAATTAATTAATATAAATTATTCTAGTATTTATTATATAGTTATTTAATGTTAGATATATTTTCATTTATTAAAATAAAACCAAAAGTACAAATATGTTATTAATATAATATTTTTAAAAAATAAATAAATTTGTTTTAATAATAATAAAAAGTGACTAACTATTTATAAAAAAAATTATTTTAAATTAATATAAATTTATACCATATATTATTTAATTTGTTAGTCAATTTTATGAATGAAATTTAACATATAATATAATTTAATAGTAAGTAGTGTAAAATTCTCGGAATTTTTATATTATTATTATTATTATTATTTATAAATTGCAAATTCATGACTGACTAAAAAAAATCATGACTTACAGTACTACTATTACTACTACTAAAGCTTTTATATACTAGTATTTTATTTATCATAGTATACTCTAAAGTAATATAATTTAACATAAGATAATATTATATGAATACATTGTATACACTTTTTTTTCTCAAAACATAACTTATATATACTGTATATAATATGAATCATACAGTATTTACAGTATATATATATATATATATATAACTGAATGGATGGTTGAATGACTAACACTAAGAAAACAATGACTTTTTTAAATTCCTAACCAATAAATCATGGATTGAAGTCTAAAACCACAATAAATCATATAATGATTCATATCATTTAAAAATTTGTTTTTCAAAAAAATATTTTTGTTTATCATATAATTATTATTAAGTTGTTTTTTAAAAGAAAAAATATATTTAGAGCTGATATACCAATTAAATTATTTTTCAAAATAATACATTTAATTATCCTTATATATATATATATATATAATATTTAAGTGTAACATAGAAAACATTATCAATTAATTAATTTATCGTAAAAAAATTATCGGTGATATTTATCATTAAAAAAAATTTTTTTTTGCAATAAAATTGACCTTCAAGGCTTCAATAGCTAATGTTATTTAATCAACAAACAAACAAAAAAAGTGATTCACGTGTTGTGTGTGTATACTGTATAATATTATCATAGGATGACATCATATCATCAATGAAAGACACAGAGAGAGAGAGAGAGAGAGAGAGAGAGAGAGAGAGAGAGAGAGAGAGAGAGAGAGAGAGAGAGAGAGACATTCAGACAATCAATTAATAATAATAATACAATTGATTTAATTGATATGAAAAAAATATATATTTTAATTACTTACCCGCTCTGACAAACACTTTATGATTATTATTATTATAATCAGTGTCACCATAACCGTCATCGTCATCGATACCATTATTATTATTAATATTATTGTCACCAACAATAGCAGCACCGATAATACCATCAAAATTATCATCAAATAAGGGTAAGTCTATCTTTAAATGCATTTTATTATTATTATATTTTACTTATTGGTAATTTTTAATACAATGATATAAATTATAATATACAGTAAAAAACTAGTTATCTATTGTTTGCCGTAATATAAATGCTTTTTAACTCAACCGATGTTTACGATTAAATGATTATAACTTATTTGATGTGTGGATATAATCTTATTTGAAAATATATTTATTTTGTTTTTATAAAAATAATAACTTTTTAGTTTAATATGATTTTTTTCTGGTGAGCCAATAGTAACTAACAGTAGGAGTTATATCATCTTTTCTCTCCGTCAATGAAAATATGTGGACAACACTCGTATATATATAATATGTATTGATATTATGAAAAAAAGTAGTGAAGAAAGTCGTGATCATCGCATACTCCAACCGATAGCCCGGAGCGCTATTTAACTATATATACTGTACACTCACTCTACAGACTACCTAAGCTTTAAGTAGTTTGTTTCTAGTAATGATTTTCTTGGAAAAACTGCTACACTTTTTTTTATTTTAAAATAAAAAACTAATTGTGTGTATAATACTTATATACAATGTATATAACATAAGGTAGCGTTTGGGGTATGGTATGAGGTGTCCGCCCCCATCTCTCTCTCTCTCTCAAGCATTTAGATGGTGTAAGAAAATACATTTTTTTGTTGATTGTATATTAGCTATTGATGTTAACTATTGATAAATAATTTTATGTTTAACAAGGATTTAATATACAAATATATATATATATTTTAAAATTAGTATTAATATTAAACCTATAAAAGATATGTTAGAAATGATATAATAAATAAATTTTTTTTTCGGTTAGATTATTAGCTATTTTGTATGTTATCACTTATGTATTATATATATATATATCTATTTTATGAATAAATTATCTTATAGTTGGTAAACATTTTTTTGAAACATAAAAATTATGATTAAAAAGGAATCTCAAGAATCTCAGGAATTATTACTAAGAAATGGGAAAAGAAAAAAATGATTGCACTGTTGGGTTGTATGATATGTATGAGTCGCTTATGTATCATAAAGTTATGCCATACCATACCATTAGAGAGAGAGAGAGAGAGAGAGAAAGAGAGAGAGAGAGAGAAAGAGAGATCTCATTTACTTACTTAATAATAACATACTCTACTAGTATTAGTAACAATTTTTTTACACTTTTTAGTCTGCTATTTATTATTTTTTTTGTTTTGTTTTAATTTATTTTTTGGCATTTAAATTATGGGAAAATTGTATGTTTTGTGTATTAGTAAGTGATTGTCATTTTTGTGTGTGTATATTAATTTATTTTTATATTATTTATCAACAACAACAACAAAAATCACTACAATATTATAATATATACCATATTTACAGTACTGTATTGATATATACAGTACTATTAAGTATTAGTTATGTATAATATTGACATTTGTTTAGACATTGATATAAATTTTTACTGTAAAATGTGATACAATTAGATGTTAAAACCCATTTGATTTATATATATTGATATAAAAAATATTATTATAGATATGTGAAAAAAATCTGTTTGAAAATTTAAAGTTCACTTAAATCTGTTAAAATTGTATTCACAAATCCAACCCATACCTAAAATATATATATCAAATATTATTCAACATAAAACACATAAATATTGTGTGATATTATAATATTTAAACAATTTTTGACAAAAATAATACCACTGCTATATATATGTTATATAGTCTAAAATAAATTGAAAAAATATATATAATAAATTACTTGTTTTTATAACAATAAATATATAAAAAAAACAAAATAATTTATTGTTTTTTATATTTATACAATTATTAATAATAAACCTATAATATAAAATCAAGTTAATGCAATAAAAAAATTATTTTATTGATAAACAAAAAATTATTTTCAAAAAATTCCGTATTTAAATTCAAAACATTTGATGTTATGCTATATTAAAGTTTATTATTTATTATTATTTAAAAAAAGTTAAATATTGATGACATTTACTTTTATTTTGTGATTTTATGTTTTATATTGTTTTTCATTCAATAGTTTATTCAAATTTTTTGTTGTTGATAACTATAAACGATTGGTTTTCATTAGTATTATTATTATTCAAATAAACAGTGAATGAAATGATGTGAAAAATTGGTTTTTTTTAATATTATTTAATATATTATTATTAAAAGGATTTGTTTGATAACATATACAGACAGTACATATACAGTATGTGTGGCACTACTATATGGCCTCCGCCGCCACACTCTCGCGTCGTGCGGTCGTCTTATCGTACAATAGATTAACAAAACGACTTCACATATTATATATAAAAATAAAAGTTTGATCCCAGAGCCGCATCCCTGTGCACTATCATCAGTATATATATAGGGATGTCATGCTTTTACCACAGAGAATGACTGAGTGAGTACTACTACTACTACTACTACTACTACTACTACTACTACTACTACACACTAGTATATTATATGGGCATTGCTTTGCAATATTAGTGGATCTGTTCAGCCTATCAATAGTAGAGTCTCTCTCTCTTTCTTTTTTTATTTTGATGACAACAACACAGTAGATGTATGTAATATACTGTGTATATAAAGCGTTTCATTATTGCTATATTATAGAGAGAGATATATATATAACGAGTGGTGACAACACAATTGAATTGAGAGAAGAGCGAGTAGTTTATAGACAAACACAATATATATATATATATATATATAAAAGTTTTTGATATCAGAGCAGAGCTGATGATAAAACCTTACTAAACAACGGCCTGATCTTTTGATTCATAGCAAACATATAGAAAAAGGCAAACATTTATCTATATATATATATATATGGCCTAACACTCGCACCGGGAGTTCGGCACAGTTAATGAAAATTACTGATTCCCTACAGATTCTCTACTGTATTGGTGCGAGAATTGGGGTATTAATGCAGTCATAAGTCGTGGATCAACGCGTATTTCATAGTCATTGTATATATATTGTGTGTGTATGTGTAGGTGTGTATGTATGTATGTGTGTTTGTGTGTATGTGCGGGTGTATATGTGTTTGTCCATAGATTTCACGCTCAATATAATCAATAAAACGACAGTCAAAATAGTGTATTAGTTAAGGGATTATCATTGACTGGGGATTTTGGACACTGAAAAAAAACAATATTACACATTAGGTTATATGCCGTATAATATATATTTAATATAATAATAATAATAAAAATTAACTATAATATGTGAGAGATTTAATACTTTTATGTTTGCTGTAATGTTATATAGGTTATTATGTAACATTTATATACAGTACAATATACCCGTAATGGTATTTATAATGTAATTCAATTACAAAAATAGTATGAATTTATAACATTTTTATATTATATATTTGCAATTAATGCAAACTATTTATTTTTATTATTATAATTATTATACTATTATCTAAATATATTTATTTTTTAAAAAAAATAATTAACATTTTAAATATGGTTATATATAATAATTATATATAGTAATAACTACATTTATATGTTATATTTTGAATTTATTTAGATTAAATTAATTATTTGTTTCTAAAATTCAAATAAATCATCTAGATTGTATTTTAAAAATTAATGCCTAAAATTAAATGCAATTATTTTTTTTCTACAAAAAATCTAATCATTTATTAATTACCAAAATTAAACATTAGAAAAAATATTACAATTTATTATAATTTTTGTCAACAACAAAAAATCTAATCAATTAATATAATAATTAACTAAAAAAATATTATAATTTTGATTTTAATAAGCAATATTATTAACAAACAATTTTATGCAAACATTAATGAAACATTTGTAGTAACATTAAGGTTCACTAATTGCAATATATTTTTTTATATATAGTTTAAGGTTTAAATTAATAGTTTTTTTCTTGATTTTTATCTAAAACAATTAATACAATATATTTCACACATACACTAATAATTATTACTTATTCGTATATAAAAAATATATTATAATATTTTTAGTTAATTATAATTAATGTTTATTTAATTATATTCATTGGTCTGTTTAACAATTAAAGAAGAGGTCAGTGATAAATGATTTAAAAAATAAATAAAACATTAATGTTTATTATAACAATTGTAATAATATTATATATATATATATATAAAACACTTATGATTTCTACCGGAAACGTATGACAATATCATTGATTTAAATGACATTTAATTGTTTTCATGTATTTCTAAATAAATCATATATATTACTGTACTGTATATATATATATATATACATATATAACTAATAAAATACATTTTTTTTATTAAAAATATAATAAATTTTATCATATCAGTAATAAAATAATTATTATTTAATTATTAAATCTATTTCTATTTACAGTACTAGGATATGATACCAAAATAATTTAGTTTAAAACTATTATTAGTTGTCTAATTTCTCAGAATTTTATCTATATATTTATAGTGATATCTATAATTTTATAATAACTTTTATATGTATATACAGTGTATATACATTATAAATTATAATTTATAATTGCAACTCAATAGTTATAATTTATAAACCAACTGAATATACAGTAATATTGTATTATTTAAAAAAATATTAAATTAACTGATATTTGGTTCTCACATACACTTTATATAATACCTAATATATAAAAATATAAATAAAACTGCTTTTCATATAATTCTCGGAAATCATATATCTATCTTATAAGCAAAATATCTATATATAAAAAAAGTTGTGCTCTGATTTATATAAGATATTTATAGTTAGTTAGTATTGTACACTAATATAATGTTATATAAATTACTGTAACATAGCATATTATAATAATAATAATACAAAACTTGTATAATAATTTTATACTGTTATATATTGTATATAAACGCCAATATCCCTGTCCTATCCTTGTCTTACCTCAATTACATAACCAACTAAATTATTGTTAAAAATGTTGATATTATTAAATCCCGGATAAGCCATTATTAATATAAATTATTATTATTATATAAAATGTAAATTTATTTGTTCAAAACAAAATAAAAATAAATTTATAATAATAATAATGTTACAAAATTTATCTATTATTTTATTTGAATTAAAATATCATTGAATCGTCTAAACTTATTATATATATATATATAAAGTGTATGTGTGATATCATATCCTATGTTATAATAATTTTCTTACATAACATTAAAAACTTATTATTGTTATTATTGTATTTTAATTTGCAGGCTATTTATTATTTGAACAAATATATATATAATAATATATAATTTAATGTAAATTCATTTATAATTTATTTTTTGTTAACTAACATTATTAATAAAAACAATATTATAATACTATATTATGTCCAGCTGTTTTTATTGTTTAATTTTTATGTCAAAATTAAACTAATAATTATCATATGATATATTTATAAATGGGTTAAGTTCAAGTTATATACATATATACATATAAACATATTTGAATTTTTTTAAAAATTTCAACAACAAAAATTATAAGTTAAACTTATGTATTTAAATAAAACATTTTAAGTTAAAAATTTACACTTAATTGCGTTGCTATTAAAATAAATTGTCATATAATGAGAAACTTGACATAAATTTTTGATTTTTTTATTGTCGAAAAAAACCTTCAAAACTTCAAACATTAATATTATTATTTAATTATATTATCATTAATATTTGATTTTGATTTTTGATTTTTAAATGAGATTAATTATATTTTGTTAAAATAATTTTTATTAATTCTAAGTAATGTTACAAATTTGTTAAGAGAAAAAGGAAACAGTAATAATAATAATAATATATTTTAATTTATTTTTTTTTAATTTTCTTTATATTTTAAAATTATTAATATAGTGCACACAAATATTTTATTTAATAATAATAATAATTAGGTTTAATTTATTAAATTATGTCGTTATAAAATAATTATAGATAATAAATTTAGATAAATTAAGTTTATTCATATTTATTATGTATAATTATTATTTATTTCATATAAATAAATATATACTATATATATATATATATATATATGTAAAATTAGCTATCAGTAATAATGCCTTATTTATTGATAATTATTTTTAAAATGTGAAAATAACTAATAATTGTTAACTAAAAATAATCATATTTTATTATTGATTTTATTGAAAGGGTATTTAGAGGCACATTACTAACGTGTGTGTGTGGGAGATAGATCTATAGCGGGTAACAATAAAAACAATAGTTATGGGAAACGTTATGATAATAATAATAATAAACAAGTGCTGCAAATGGTATGTCACGTATTGGTCAACCAATTCTTAAGTATATTCTGGTTGTTTCACATAAACTTAAGGCACAGAATATACAGTACAGTACTATACTATAATATACTACAGTATAGTGTTGTACTGTATATAAATTAGATACCATTTCTCTCTCTCTCTCTCTCTCTCTCATCCTTTTTCTTGATAAAGTCTTATCTAAGAGAGAGAGAGAGAGAGAGAGAGAGAGAGAGAGAGAGAGAGAGAGAGAGAGAGAGAGAGAGAGAGAGAGAGAGAGAGAGAGAGAGAGAGAGAGAGAGAGAGAGTAGTTATGTTAGTGAATAGCAAACCCAGTGAACGGATTTCCACAACTAAGTGCTCTTTCCGAGCGCACCGACACTTATGCCAGAGTTTTAAGGCTCGCCATTAAAATCAATACAAACGCACAGATTGGTTGTGTGTTGCCATTAAATGTCATAAGGTATTGGATGTGATGGATGTTTATTGTCTTATTATACCAACTAAATCGAGATCAGCCTATAAATCCATTGCTCACAAACATTATATGTATACTGTATACACATTATTATTATTATTAGACTTTATATATATAATATAAAAATTGTTACCATTTGTTTAGCATATATGAGGAAAAAAATGTCAACGAAAATAATAATAATAATATTTTAAAATATTAGTAGTATTTTCATGTTTGCCATCAAATACATAGTTGATGTTTTTTTTAAAAAAATAACTAATATAATTATAATAAAAACAATTTATTTCAAATTTAACACTATAAATTATCTAAATTAATTTTAAAATGATATTATTGTATCTTTGAAACTAATTTATTTTAAGGAAACTAATTGTATTAATCAATTGAAGCCTTATATTCCAATATATAATTTTCAGAAAAATTAAACCTATATTTTAAAAGCAAACAAAAAAAATTGAAAAATATCAGCAAATCATAATAAATAAAAATTTAAGCAATTAGTATAAACTGTATATAATTACAAACTTAATATATTGTGTGCATATATTTAAATATCATATATATATATATATATATATATATATATATATATATATATATATATATATAAATATAGATTCAATTATAGTTATTGTGTTCAAAAAAAATGTTTTCTTAGATTACAAATTGCCTTCAAATTTCAAAAATATCTTATGGCAGGCAATACAGTGTTCAAATAAATTTTATATTATACCAAACTATGAAAAAACCAATCATTTAGTGTGTGTGTGTGTATATACCGATATTATAATACTGTACACTAACACAATAAAATACAATCCAATAACAATAGTAACATATTTTTTCGTTGTTGTTGAACACAATTTAAGGCCATATATGATATACAATATACTGAAAAACAAACTAATATGGTTTTTATACTATTAATAGTTTATAACAATTTATAACTAATTTCAACTGTTAAGCTCCGGGACTGACTGACTAACTGACTGACTATCAGGGCTTAACAGACAAAGACGTTTCATTTATTATTAAAATATATGATAGCTTTTTATAGATAAATCGAGACTTGAATATCAATTTTCTTCGGATCTTTAAATTTTATTTCATAATTTTATATTAAATTATATATATATATATATATATATATATATATATATAGTATAAACATATAAATAATAAGCATATATCTATAATATATATAATATACTATTAAATTTGATTTAAATATGGGAAATATCCAGACACAAAAAAAAGGGGAAATTAGTATTATTATAAATTATTACATAAATGTCTGTATTATACTGTATAATATTGTATATAATTAATTACAAATAATTAACTTATAGTCAATTGTTTATATATATATATATATATATAAATAATAATAATAATAAATGATATGATTTAACAGATTTCAATAGTGACAATAAATGAAAAATTAAAGATAAACACAATTTACAATAATAATAATAATTGATATATTATTTTTAGATTTTATACCAAATTATTAATATAACAAATTATCATTATTATTATTATTAATATTATTAATATTAGCAAAATTAATATAATTAACGCCTGGATTATAATATTGATGATAATCACCACCACTACCACCAGCGATGCCAATGTTGTTGTTGTTGTTGGTGGTGGTGGTGGTGAAGATGTTGTTATTGTTGTTGTTGTTGTAGAAGTTATTGATATTATTATTAATATCATTACCATAATTACAGGTCAACTTATGTTTGTTGATCTCTTCGCTTTGCGATTGTATCTGAATCTCCAGTAATGTTAACTCATTCTTCAGAGCATCTCTTTTGTTCTTCAATTCTTTGACTCTCTTTTCCCGATCGATAATCCTTTGTCTCAATCGTAGCCGACATTTGGCCGCCGATTCTCTATTCTTTCGTCGCCTTTCTTCGTCAATAGTTTTTGTCTCATTCATGGCTGACGTATTGTTTTTCGTAATATTAAGAAATCTTTCGATTTCAATCAGTCCTTTGAGCTGATCTTTGGATACTTTGCTGTCGCCGCCGCCGCCGCCGTCACCGATCATATGGTTTTTGTGGACATCATCACCAATGATATTGATTGTGGTGTCATCTTCGGCATTGATCTGTTCCATCAATGACTTTCCATATTCATAATGCATTTGATCCAAATCCATATAGGTTGCCGTTGCCGTCGTCATCCTAGTCATCATATCATCAATAAAATAAAGTTCAAAAAAAATCAAATATATTTTAAATATCATATGATATAACAACTAATGGCTATTATTTTTAATAACTAATTCAAAGTCCCATTGAAAGCATGGCTTAATTTTTTTTATATTTATTTTTACTTAATTAACATTTAAATATCTAAATATATATTTATTGATCAAAATTTATTAACAAAATTTTTTTTGTTAATTATATAATTAATTAGTAATAATTAGTTATAATAATAATTTTTTGTTGTAGAAATCTATGACCAAATTATACAAACAAATAAACTATTATTTTTTGATAAACTTTAAACTAATTATTATTATTATTATGATTAAATTTATTGATAAAAATTATATAATCAAATATTTATAGATACCTGTTAATTATAACTTTTAAATTATAATAATTAATCAATAAATTAGTTATTATTAATAATTATTAATAATAATCTCTCTCACAATAGTTCATCACTTAAAGCAATTAAAACAATTAAAGTGTCAAATACTTAATGCATTTATAATTCAATGCTTTTTTAATTTACACTTAATTTTTAATACAAGTCACACTATCGACATCTAGTGTTGTCAATTCAAATCAAATATTTTATAATATATTTAAGTTACAGTATTTCTCAATTATAATTACTGAATACTAACTTTAAATTGAATGTTATTTAAATTGAATTTAATTTTAGATTGTGTTCAGTAAAAAAAAAATAAAATAAATAATAATTTAATTATAAAATTATAATATCAATTGATTAGTTATAATTGATTTTTGTTTCCTTCAAATTTTAACAATTAAATGTTATTATAAATTTAATTTATTGTAACTTTTATTTTTTAATAGACTTGTGTAAACTTTAAATAGACTTTAAATGGTTTTACTTTGTTAGTAAAGTAAAGTAAGTATTAGTAAAGTGTACATGTTTAGAAAAAATTAAAGTTAATTTTTTTTTGTTGAGATATATACATATTGAAACTTATTAGTTAGTAAATTTCCATGTAGAAAAATTACTAACATTTGCTTGGTAATAATAATAATAATACTTATAATAATAATAACCTATTGACTGCAAATTAACAGCAAAAAAATTATTTAAAAGTTAATCCTTGACCCATTTTGTAGTTTATTATATATATATATATATACAGTATATTAGTAATAGTGGTTCAACAACAATAAAAATATAGTATATTATGCAAACATACATTTTTTGGTAATTTTTTTTTAATTGTTGGATATATTATATTCATCTATAAATAATAATAATACCCGTACTAACAGTATTAGTGTTAGAGAGAGAGAGAGAGAGAGAGAGAGAGAGAAAGAAAGATAGAAAGAAAGAGAGAGAGAGAGTATAGAGATGATACAGTATGTTAACAAACAAAACAAAAAAATGGGACACAAATAAAGTTAAATAAGGATTAAAATTAATTAAATATTTTTATATAAAACAAAAATTAAAAGCTTTATATTAGTAATAATAACTTACAACAAAAAATAATTTTTATACAATAGAATTGTGTGTAACGTTATATATGTGTATGTTTTTTGATATTTTATTTCTCTGGTGTACATCTTATATGAACATTGTTTTCTGTATAATACACAAGTTATGATCACGTGATGTACATTATATAGGGTTCTCTTAAATTACATTCATATTATTTATGTTACCAAAAGTTCCGTATATTCCCAGCTCCCAGGGAATTTCCATGGAACTTTTATTTTTTGTACTACCCAGGGATTTTAAAAACGGCAGGCATAAACAATAGATGCCAATTTTGGTAAATGCCTGCCCTGCCTTTGTCATGCCCTGGGCATCTATTTTCAGGTGGTGGTGACACCTATTATTAATTAATTAATTAAAATAACATTATTTTATTACTATATTTGTTTGTCTGTTTATTTGGTATATCTTTAATTATACGGTAATCTCAGAAATACGGAATACTAATACGGAAATTAATTGTATATTTAATTAATTAATTATTTTTTGTTTACTATTTTATTGTAATAATATATAAAAATATTTTTTTAAAACCTATGAAGTGAAGGGAAAACAGTATATTTTTATCTATCTGTAAAATTGGAGGGATTTTATTAGGGAAGTTCCCTCCCTTAATAATGCCTGAACTCTTACAGTATGTGTGTGTCGTCACTATTGCTATTACTTTGCCTATACTGTACTAAAACAACACATTGTATTGTGTAGTGCACTGAAAACACTACAGTATATGTAGTACACAGTGTGTATGTGTGTGTGTATACTGTACTGCACTGACTGTAAGTTTGTTTTTTAAAGCCATATATTGAGAGATTGATGATTGAGATTGTGATGCATTACCACAACCAATGATAGCCTACTCTCACTATTATTATGTATTATTAGTTAGTATTGTATAGAGGAATAGCATTGAAAACTCTCTCTCTCTCTCTCACAGCACATATACATACAGTCAGTCTATTGCCAGACTCTCTCTCTCTCTCTCTCTCTCTTTCTTCATGACATAACTGTGTGCTATATTTAATCGGTAACACAAATACACAGTATGTATGTATGGTATGGTATGTTTGATGTGTGTGTATATGTATATAATCAATGAATTTTAAGTGACAATTGAATGTATAGTTATTTTTGTTATTAGTATTATTAGTTGTTGTCTGGACTAACAACTATTGTATTTATAAATTATAATTGTATTGATTATTATTATTATTATTATTATTATTATTATTATTATTATTATTTAGTTAATACTGTAGTAATAATTTGTATTGATTTAGTTGTGTTTTGCGATTCACATTCAATACACATATTATTAAACTGAAACAACAAATCATTATTAATATTATTATTATTATTGAAAATTATTAATTTAATCTGTGATAACATCGCGACAGTGATTTAGACATACCTGTGCTCTCTAACTATCTATCTATCTATCTATCTCTCTAACTATCCATCAGTGATAAAGTGGAGGATAATTAATACCTGACTGACTGACTGATCAATCATAGGTAAAAAAATTATTATTATTATTATTATTAATTTATTATAACTAATACGATATATTAGTTTATTTTTATTTATTTTTTGATAGTTATAATATTATGTATAGTAATGATTATAATGATATATCATACATATAATGTGTGATTTGGTATTCAATTCAATAGAGTATTATTTATTATTATTATTATATCATTAATGATTTTTATTTGATATTATTTTATTAGGATATTATTATATTATTAGCTATTGATTTGTATGCAAAACAGCCAACAACTAAATAAACATTTGGTTGTATTTTTCGTCATCTAATAGGATATTAAATCTATGTTTTCATTAATATTAATATTATTAGTAGTATTGGTTGTGTTTGTTTAACTTATAAAATGCCAAATAAAATCACAAATAATAGTAATAATAATAATAATTATTATTATTTTTGCTGTATATATATACGGTATATAGATTTTATTGTTGTCAAAACACAAAAGTATAAAAAAACATTAATAGTATTATAATAAAAATAATAGTAATAATTATAATAATGAAATAAAATAATACATGATATATACGCGTAAATTAATAATTACTATTAGAGTATATATAATATATAATATATTCTGTATATGATATGAGAGTGTCATTGATATTATCAGATGTGTTATTAACTTATTATTATTATTATTACTATTATTATTATTAGCTTATTATTTATGATCAATTCATGTGAACTAATAATATTAATAATAAGTAATAACTAGTAATAAGTTATAATAATCTATAATTAAAACATATAAATAATTTTTTATTATACATATATATTATATATATATATATATATATTTATATATATATATGTATATGATATATCAGATTAATAATATTTTAAAAGAAATTTTTTTTATTCATTTAATTACTTTAATATTTATTAATATATTAAATTAATTCAATTTAATAATACTTAATATTTACTTTGTTTTTTTTAAATAATTATAATCATAGGATAAATATTATTAAATTTATTTTTATTTAAAAAAATAATAGTTAAGTCAAGAGGAAGAAGTGACCGAAAAAATAGTCTATTTATATCAACAAACTGTTTGAATAATAATAATAATAATATAATATATTTAATAATAATATTGAAAATAATATTAAGTTTTATTTTAATTAAAAATATCTATTTAAATAAATTAAAATAATAATTATTGTGTTTAGCATATCTATTGCTGTGTGTGTGTGTGTGAAAACAACAACATTTCAATGTATTTTATTTATTATTAGTATTATTATTATTATTATTATCATAACTTATAACTTATTATATTGTTGTTGTTTTGCTTAATGCCATGAATTAGCTATTTATTTCAACAACAAAAAAACAACAGCAAAAATTTAAATTTTGTTTTTTAATTAAACTTCAAAAATACAAGACTAAGACTCTTTTAGAAAAAAAACTGAAGGTATTTTCAATTTATTTATTTATTTATTAATTTAATGGTTTTTTTCTTAATTATTTTTTATAGATATTTATTTATTTTATTATTTATCTTATTATTCATATTATATTAATAATAATAATACAAACTATCAGTAATATTGTTATTATTTAATTTTCTTATTTGTTATTTATTTCTGAGACACTGAATAATTAATTAATCATATTTTACTTTGAACTATATTTTTTAAATTGTTTTTTATTAATTTTTTATATATATATTTATATTATATTAGATTTATGTTTATTAATACTAATAATATTGAGATTAAATAAAAGTAATATTTATAACATAGCTAATTAATTTGTATGTATGTAGGTTTGATGATATATGCTATTTCCAGTGTATTAAAAAAAATATTATTTATTATAGTCTACTTATATATATATATATACTTTATATTAATTTTATCGCTTTTGTTACTAAAATATTTACATTTGAAATTAATTATATATATATATATATATATATATACTGTATATATATATTAGTCATTTAAAACTATAAATATTAAGCAAAAAATATTTAAAGAATTTAATTTGAAAGCAATTATTGCTGCAAAGCACTGGTAGTTGTTATTAGATGGGTAGTAGTAGTAGTAGTAGTAGTAGTAGTAGTAGTAGTCATATATTGGTTAACCCGTTTTGTTGGTTAATGTATTTGAAACTCCCATAAAAACTGAATTTTTATTTATTTAATTATTTATTTAGTTTTATTTTTTGATTAATTTAATGTCTTCTTCTATGTTATTCTCTTTCTACTATTATATACAGTATTATAGTGTAATATACAGTAAGTATTTATTTTTATTATTTGTTTTTTTTTTGTTAATTTGTTGCCTTTAAAATTTAAAGTTAACTTTTTGTTGAAAAAGTTATTTTGTTGGCAAAGAGTTAGTTGTTGTTGTGATTCATGTGTTTTTACTGTATATATAATTTATAAATATTATAATTATCATTATTTATATTATTAGTATTAGTATTACACCATACAGTGTGTATGTAATAGTATTTATTAATAATAATAATTTAAAAACTGGTTTCTCTCTCTCTCTCTCTCTCTCTATCTCTCCTACTCTCTTGATTTTATACTGATTATTCACACTTTAAATATACGCAAAAAAATATTGTCTGAAATATTTATGTTGTTTTTGTGTGTGTGTGAAGAATATTATATAATATATTATTACTTAATATATTTATATTTATGGGTTAAACGAAAGATCTTTCGACAAATAGTCTGATTTTCAACAAAAATAAGAAAAAAAGGTTTAAAATGTGATCTTTATTTTTGATATATTTATACAACCATTTTAATATATAAATGTATGTATATATTTGTTTGCTAACCTTATGATAATAAACTTTTTTTTGAGTACTTTTCATGCCATTAACAAAAATAATATTTTTTGATGATTTTAATCGTTAAAATAGTTTACTTATTTATTGAAAGAGTTAGACTTTAAATGGTTTTTTTAAAATTAATTTTTGTTGAACTTGAATTTTAAATAGATTTTATTTTTGAAATTATATATATATATAATTTTTAATTGATTTTAGTTTGTCTTAATATATAGATATTAAACAAATTTTTCTGTCTAATTTATTTATTTTTTACAAATTTTGTATATATATATAATAAATATAAATTATTTTTATGATATATTTATATATAGTAGTGTTTTTTTATTTTAAAAAAGTAAGTTATTATATAAACAGTAAAAATTAATTCACAACGCAATGTTAACATTTATTAAGATTGAAATGTTTGAAATTAAAATTTTATGCCATTAATAAAAACTATAATATATTACAGGTATTGTAATATGATTTTATATATATAAATATATAACACATTTGAGCCATTAAATTAAATTAACTATGCATTGAAACAGTGTTTTAAAATTATATAAAATGTTTTAATTTAAATAAATAAAAATTACATTTATTGAAAATGAAACAAACTGTTGTATATAATCAAATTATATTGTTTGTAGTTTATTATATACTATATATATACATAATATTAATATATGATAGTTTTGTTTTATTTAAATAATAATTTAATAAAAAAATGATTGTGCAAAATATATGTAACAATTTGTTTAATAAATGCAAGATAATACCTGTGCTAATAATTGTATAGATATTCACTATCTATACCCCCCTAAAGTAATATTAAAAAAAATTATTATATAATTTATTATTCTATGGTATTTAATCTCATCGATTCATAAATAGGTTTTTAGTTTAGCATAGCATAGCATTTAGTTATTTTATTATTATTTAAACAACAAACTATAAATTAGCGCTAAATTTAGATTTATATATATATATATTTATAAGTATACTGTAATTGTTGCTATTAATTGACAATTAATGATAAATATGTCACAACACATAACATGTGTAAGTGAGTGACAAAAAATGCTGATTAAAATAACTACGATATTGTATTTATTTATATGTCATTATATATATATGGTATTTGCTTATAAAATACAAGGAAATATTTGATTTTATTGTTTTTGTTTATTATTTTATATCTATACATAATATACATTGTAGTGTATACACTATCTATTAATTTATAAATATCTTGTTTATAAAACAAAACAACAAAAATGATTACTAAATTGTTATATGATGGGAAAAATTTAATTTTTGTTAAATTTGCAAATAAAAATTGAATAAATAATGTGTTGGTTTGGTTATATATATATATATATATATAAATAATTAAATATAAATAGAATTTAAATTGTTGTTTATAAAAATGTTATTTATATTTAGTTAATGTAATTATTTAGCATTACATAATATTCTGGCAAATGTTTATACAGATATATATATATAACGATTTGATACTTCAAAACAAAATAATGCAAACTAAACTAAAAATTTCATTTATATTATTGGTTTGTTAGATTAAGGGTATGTTTTAAGGGTTATCATTTTTTAAAAACAAGGAAAAATTTATATGTAAATTAGATTATTTATTTTTTTTAAATGTGTTTTGTTTAGTCTCCCCTAAAATCAATCTTTATCACCAATACGTGATGGTATTGTCAAATTGGTTATACAATATATATATTTTACTGTATTATTATTATAGTGTTAGTTGTAATTTAAATTGTTATCATTTTGCGACACTAAACCTAAAATAAGTTTTTTATCTTATTATTATTATTATTATTATTACTTGGAATTCAAAAAAACTTTTTTTCTATTTTCAAATTCATAGCCTCATATAAAAAAGTTTAAAAATTGTGGTACACTTTTTTAAATTTTATTTCATATATTTATTATTAGAGATAAGACATATATATATATAAAAAAAAGCTATTTATTTTATTTTGTCAGTAATGTTAGTAACTATCTCTCTCTCTCTCTCTCTCTCTCTCTCTCTCTCTCTCTCTCTCTCTCACTCTCTCTCTCGACTACTTTTACTTAGAAATAATTATTTTTGTTGGTTATACTTGTATTTTAATTGTCTTCAAGTATATTTGGACTGAACCACTACTTGAAAATAAAATGTCGATAAAAAAAATGCTTTTACTACTAAACACTTATCAAAATGATAATAATATTGAATTGTTATTATTGTTATGATAAGTGATAATGTAATTATTATTATTATTTTATAATAACTTACTACTCTGATAATATATATATATAATATTATTATTGGATATATACTATATATAATAATAATAATACAGTGCGATATTATAAATTGTATTTAAAATGCTACTCAAATATGTCATACAATTATCATTATATGATAATTATTAATTATTTATGACTATCACTACTTGTGTGAGTATGATATCTCTTTTTTCTCAATAAACTGTGTAAATAAAATTACAGTAAAATATTATGTGAAACGTAAACTTATATATATATATATATATATATATATATATATATATATATATATATATATATATATATATATATATATATATATAACTAAAATGATTTATTAGCTGAATATCATACTATATTATATTAATATTGATTTTAATATTATTAGCAATAATTATTTTAAGCCTTTAATTTAACCAATAACAAAAAATTTCCATTGATTAATCATATGATATCTAAAATAATGTATAATAAAGTTTTTATTAATTATTATTAATATAATTTATACATATGTAATATTGTTGAACAATATGATAATTGAAGTTGATTGAAATTAATTTATTTGAAATAAATTAAGGTAAATTATATAATGTTATATAATATTAATAATTACATTATTTATTAAAAATAAATTAATATTGTTTATTTATATAATAGACTTTAACACAAGTTTACACAACATTTTATTTATATTGTGTATTACACAATATTATATGATATATATTAAGTGAATATATATATATATATATATATATATCACTTAATATTATAAGACATGAGTTGCACTTTCCTGTTATAAACACTTTATTTATATTATTAAATAGTATTAAAAACATTTTATACTATTCAAAATATTTTTCTAAAGTTATTTGGCTTTTATTATTTGGCGAAACATATATAAATTCAATGTAAATGTGTGTGTATTTTATTTTGTTATAATATTACAAAATATTTTTCTCTCAAAAAAATTTGCCTTAAAGGTATAACCAGTTATTTAATGTATTTTGCAATTAGTAGTTAAATAATTTTATATTATGTTAGTTAGTGAATGAGTGAGTGAGTGAGTTATAAAGGTATTATTTGATGGTATATTGTATTTATCTATTGATTTGTTATTTAATAAATTTATATATATATACAGTATATACAGTTTATATAAATTAATATGACATTGACAATGTGCTGTTTGCACTGGTTATACTATTTGTTACCTATACACTGCTGTATATGTTGAGTGCACCTGATTACCTGACTAATTGATTCACCATGGTCATTTGACTAATTGTCTAATATATATATATATATATTAAATATCTTTATATATATAAATATTTAATAAATATATTGATAGCTTAATTCATTGATTATTTTAATGCATTAGAGATTATAAGGTTAACTCTCTCTCTCTCTCTCTCTCTCTCTCTCTCTCTCACTCTCACTCACTCACTCACTCACTCACTCTTCAATAAATATCTGAATGAAATAGTTATTGATTTATTTGCAGTAAATTTTTTATTATTATTATTTTAATATTAATATTTAACATAACCTTTAAATATTTTTTATTATTATTTTATTAACTAGTTATTGAAATAACTTTTTTTATATAAATCAATCAATCAATAAAAACAATAAATTTATTTTATTGATAACTAAATTATTGACAATGATTTTTCTTCTTCTCTCTCTCTCATCAATAATATATAGAGAAAGAGTGTGTGTATTGTAATTAAATTAATTGACAAATCGATCGGTTGGTGACAACATCTATATATATATACACCCGAAAAATGCCTGTCCTATCGACCACATACTACTCGGGCTATCCATCGTCCAACTCTTCACTGTCACGTAATTCATCTACCAGTTCGACATTTGTATCATCATTGCGGCCCTATTCGGCCACATCCCTGAGCCATAAGAGCCGTTCATCCTATGACCTGACGGCCTACAGGCCGTCCAACTATTTAAGCACTCACTCATCATCGTCTTCGTCGTCGTCCTCATCGTCGTCGACGTCCAGCACATCCTCTTCGTCATCATATAAGTCGCCCTCGAGTTCACTATTATCTCATAATAATACCTCAAACTATTACACCAATCGATACTCGACTGGAATTTCTGGTAATTAGTTTACAAATTTATTTAATTATTTATTTGTTTTTTATTTTATTTATTTTGTTTGTTTGTTGTTGACTTAGATTTTACGATTAAAAATAGAGTTTAAATTATTTATTTTTTTTTATTATTTATTTTTGAATATTTCAAATAATCTATAAATATATAATAATATATACAGTATTTTTTTGTGGAGACTTAATGCATGTATGAACTCAATAACAAATTTTTCTTTTTAGAAAAAAAATTAGTAACAAAAATAATAATTTTATTAATATTCAATATTTTTGTGTAGTATTTATTATTATTATTATTTTTGTATCATTGAAATATTTTTTTTAAGTTAAACACATCATAAATTATTTTCAAAAAAATACGGTTAAAAATATCTTTTTTTTTCGTTGGTTTAAATAATACAGTTATACAGTGTCTCTGTTTTTTAAGTAAACACTTAATAATTATTTTTATTTTGAAAAATTTAATTAATTAGTACTACAGTATAATAATGTTGATAAAATAATTTTTAATGAGTATATAAATTCTATAAATATATATATATATATATCAGTATATTAATAAAAAATTTATTTTTTTTTAAATATAGTATTATATTTATTATTATTATTATTATGGAATTTATTACCCTATTTTTATATAATAATAAAAATCAACTAATGACTTTGTTAAATTTTAATCAGTATATATATATTTTTTGATTATAATGATTAAATTAATAATATATCTATAAATTAATTGTTGAGTAATAAGTTTATACAGTATGTATAAAAATAACATAAAATTTTTTTATATATAATTTACTAGTTTTGCTACATCTCTCAATTTTTTTAGTAGTCATTAAAAAATATTTATTTTGAAAAATTGCTATTTTGCATAATTTATAATTACCTATACTTTTTTTATATATATTATTTTGTGCAATAGGTAGATGTAAAATTTTTTCTAATTTTAGATAAATATTATTACATATATTTGATATTTTGTTTGGAAACGATGATAAATGTTAAAAATGTTAAATCAAATAAAATATTAAATGTTTTTTTTAAAATTTATGTTAAAAGTTATGATAAGTTGTCTATACTTTTTTTTAAAATAAAAATTTAACTACTTTAACTACTTTAGCTATTTATTATGCATTTATTATATATTCAATTATTTGATAATTTATAAAATTGATGTCATTAGCGTTAAAAACGTTTCGTTATGAAAAAAACTAATAAATTCAATAATTATACGATAGATATGCTGTAAAAAAATGAGTGAAAATTTTTTAAAATGTCATTTTAATATATAAATGTTTTTCTTTAATATATTCAACTACAACATAAAATAAAATTTAAAAGAAATTGTTTTGTAATAATAAAGGATAATATATATATATAAGATAATTTGCATAACAATTTTTATTCAATGATAACACATTATATATTTTTTTAAAAATAAATTTATCATAAATATACGTATGATAGACAAGTGTGTTATTTAGTTTAAAAAACCCAAATTCACAAATTATTAGATGACTACTACTACTACTACTACTTTAATTGTATTGTAGATATATTACGATAGAAAAAAAAACAATTAGAAATTATTTAGTTTATAATTCATATTCATAGTACTACACACTTATCCTTATGTTAGTTAATAGTAGTTATAAGTGATAACTGAATATAGCATTTAATAATAATAAACAAGTTGTATATACAGTGTATATATATATATATATAGAAAGATGTTTATATATCTGTTACCATTTTTGGATAGTTTTTATGACATTTAACTTTATTTTAATTTATTATCAATTTATGTTTGTTGATACATAAATATATCAGATTTTTATTTATTTATTACTATTATTTATTTGTGTATAAATTTTTATATACAATTTTTTTTATTAAAAAAAAATCTTCCAATGATATCTTTTCGGACCTTATAGTCATATAATTATCTCTTAAGATTACCAGTAAATAATTTCAATATATATGTGTATATATATATACTGTATATACACTATATAAAAGATGATATGAAATATTATTTTTGTGAAAAATTAAATTGAATACTGATTTTTGAAAAAATAATAAATAAATATTATATTTTCATTCAAATGTATGAAATTTTATGAGGAAAATTCATTTTCATCAGTAAATATCAAAAACGTCTAATAATATCTACTATATTATAGATATATTAGTTTTTTTCCAATTGTTTTATTTTTCTCAGCAAAAGACGTCAACAATTATTTCCTTTATTTTTATTTTTGTTTGATTTTATTGTTATATACAGTGTGTGTATTAATATATAAATAAATATATATATATATTGACTGCCAGTTTGTTTTATGTGATAAAATTTAATGAGTTATTAGTATTATTATTATTATTATCGATAATGTTATTAACACCGCTATTGTTAACAACAGGACTGTCATCATCGCCATCATCGGTGACATTAACCCGTTATAATCAGAGACGATCGAGTCTGGACTATAATGAACCAGACATACCCTCAAAGGTATTATTGATTTTTTTCATTATAAAAATTATTATTATATTTATTTTATTTTAAATACAAACATTAAAAACAAAATACTTGAAAAAAAAGTACTGAATATGCAATTTATAATGCAAATAACTGTCTACAACTATATATATATATATATATTAGTAAGCAGCATAATTGGCTAAATTTATCTGATTTTTTTTTTATTATAGTCATCTATTCAATCAATTTTTATCCACAAAATTTTTTTTTTAAATAGTAATAATTAAATAAATGTTTAAGCAAACATTTGTTCAAAAAACAATAAAAGAAAATTTACTGTTAAACAAATAGTAATAAAAATAAATTTTATATACTGTATTATCATATAAATCATTTATACTTATCTAGTTATTTAAAAATTCAATTTTTTTTAAATTTTATTTTATGAGAAAATCGATTTAAGTGATGCCAAAATTATAATTTTCAAATTTTTTTTTTCATTGATTTTGTTTGTGGAATGTGTCTTAAAATATTATTATTATTTTTTAATTATTTTGAATAATACACTAATGAATAATACAGTTTATAAATATTAAAATACAAATATTAATTTTTTTTTAAATTTCCGTTAATATCCTTGAAGTGATGTATTTTTAATTACGTTTGTTTTTAATAATAAATTTAATAATAATAATAATAATGAGATAAAATTGGAAACCAATCTAATGATTAAATTAGAGATCAATTATTTGCCGCAATTTTTTTTCGGCAATTTAACTATACTTATACATACAGACTGTACATACTTTACTGAAAATTTAATCGCTAAATAGTATTGACCCAATTGATAAGTTTTATGGGAAAATCAATTGTAAATATTTTTTTTCCTTTATCTCTCTCTATCTGTCTTTTTTTTATCGGTAACGGAAACCATGAATTAGTTGTTTATTTACTATACAGTTATGAGTATATCATGTATAAAGTAAATACGGGAACGAAAACTGAAAATTTCTGTATCTTTTCGGATATTTGAGTCAAACACGAGATGCTATTATTATTATGTTTTGTTAATATGTTTTCACTAATAATTTATTTTTTTTATTCAAGGCTTTTGACTTAATTTTTTATTTTGGAGATCACTTATTATAATCTTATTTAGTACTTAAGTATATATTTTGTTTTTGTTTAACTATTAGTGTAGTAGTAGTAGTAGTGGTGGTACAGTAGTATTAAACGGTATTTTCAATTATTGTGCCAAACGTTTACTTATCCATTATTGCCTAACTTTTCCCAAGTGGTGCTAATATGTTGTGTTATTGTGTTTTGTTGTCTCTCTCTCTAAAAGTTTGTAACTTTGAGTTTGTTTCTCGAAAAACAATTTTTTTCACAATGTTTACTAACGTTATATGTATATAATATGTGAACTGTTTTTTAAATATATTTATAAATAAATTTTTGCGATAAAAAATTTCTCTTAAATCTATAATTAGCTCAATAGACAACATACACAAACACTTGACACACACCACACACACACTCTCTCTCTCTCTCTCTCTCTCTCTCTCTCTCTCTCTCTCTCTCTCTCTCTCGATGTTTAGCCTCATTTGGCATCACTTAAGACAAGGCGCTCTTGAGTTGTCACTTGTGTTGGGATATATGGATGTGTATATGTATACCATATATCTATCCAATGATAATACAATTAGCTCATTGAACATGTATTTTAGTACATGTTTTTGTTACGTAAAAACCTATCCGTTTTCACTGTACGTCACTTACATACTCTCTCTCTCTCTCTCTCTCTCTCTCTCTCTCTCTCTCTCTCTCTCTCTCTCTCTCTCTCTCTCTCTTTGTTTGTTTGTATAATTTTATTTTAATAGTTTTTATAATCTCTCACCGAAATAAATACCCCGTAATAGTATATATATATAATAAATAAAAAATAATGAAATACAAGCAAAATAAATAATTTATTATTATGTGAATTATTATAATAATTATAATGACATCCATATAACAATAATAATAAATATAATTTATTAAACCTATGATATTTTAGTATATGAAATGTTTCTATTTTAATACTAATATTATATATTTAATAAATATATAATAAAAATGCATTAAAGTTAATATCAATTTCAAATATATAAATATTTAAAGAGAGTTACGAAATAAAATTAATGTTTTTTATATTTCCTATAATTATATTTAATTTGAAAAATGTAGAGCAGTTTGGCATTTAAAATTGTATAATAATAACAATAATAAAATGTATGCATATATTTAAATAATTATTAAATTATGACAATCAAAAATAATAAAAAATTAATTTTAAAATTATATATACCAGTATACACTGCAAACATAATTTAATTTCGTATCGCAAAAATATTGATATCATTAACTTTGAACTTTAATAACTTTTTTATTTTTTAACTTAAATAAACAAATTTGATATCAAATGAAAGAACACTTTTCAAAGTTTATAAGTCAATAAATAAAATTGCATTAATTATCATATTATCTATAAAAAAGCATAAGAAGTAAGAAATGGTAAAAAAAGTTATGTACAAAAAGTATTTTCGTGAAATCAAAACTTTAAATATTATTAACAAAATAAAGCTATTAATTTAGTAAAAACAATATTAATATCGAGTATTGCCTCCGTTGGCATCAATCACAGCCTGCAATCTTCTTGGAACACTTTGGATCAGCTTTTCTGTGACTTCTTCAGGTATATTTTTCCAGACATTAAATAACGACTCTTTAAACGCAGAAAAACTTTTTCTTTCGCTCTTTGGCACACGTCTGTCCAATTCATCCCATAGATGTTCAATAATATTGAGGTCAGGGCTCTGTGGCGGCCACTCAAGTGTCTCAATTTGATTGTCAGACAACCATTTCTTTGCCAATTTTGATGTGTGCTTTGGGTCGTTGTCCGCTTGAAATAAAAAATCATCGCTTATTTGTAGATCTCTGGCACTCTGAAGCAAATGTGGGGTCAAAATATCGTTAACGTAAATGTAGCGGTCCATAGTTGATGGAATTTCGACCAAATGGCCAACTCCCTGGCCTGTCATACACCCCCATACCATAACTGATTTCGAGTGCTTCACAGTTGGACATATATTATCAGGATTAATGCTTTCGCCTCTCTTTTTAAACACTCGTTGGCGACGTTTAGTACTAATAATCTCAAATTTTGACTCATCTGACCACAAGACCTTCCTCCAGTATGACATAGGCATCCGGATGTACTTTCGTGCAAAGTCTAATCGTTTTCTCTGATTTGTTAGGCTTATCATTGGACGTCTTCGCGCAATACCACTGTAATAACCCATTTCTTGAATCCGGTGTCTAATAGTGTTTCTGTGACACAAAATGTTTCTGGCGGCCAACTCTTCCTTAATCTCATCGGTGGTCAACTTCTTATTTTTTGCCACAATTCGACTCAATATCCTGTCCTGTTTAGCACTGGTACATCTTTTTCGACCACTTCTTGCGAGATTTCTAACTGTCCCGTACTTTTCGACTTTCTTTACAATTGATCGGACAGTATTATCAGTTGTTGTAAACAGTTCCGCTATTTTTGCGTATGACTTTCCGGTGCTGACTCTCATATCATACATTTGTTGGCGAATTGCATCTGAAAATTCTTGTATTTTAACCATTTTTATGATAATCACTGCATTTACTGTTTATTTACGTGTATTCAAATTAATAACAATGCATTGGAATCAATTGGTCCCAACAATGTGTCTGAAATCACGCGCGTTTTAAAAACACGAAAATAATTTTTGTACCTAAATTATTAACACCTATAACTTTACCTTGATATATTTTGTTATTTAAACCATTGTTTTGACCATCTAGTATATCAATTTAATTGTGATTTATTACTCTATTATTTGATATCAAATTTGTTTATTTAAGTTAAAAAATAAAAAAGTTATTAAAGTTTAAAGTTAATGATATCAATATTTTTACGATACGAAATTAGATTATGTTTTTAGTGTATATTATTATTATAATAATAAATTTTTTTTTTAATAACAATAAATTAATTTATTTAGATATGCACACCAGTAGCCGGTCTAACTAATTTAGGTAACACATGTTATATGAATTCAGTACTACAAGCCCTGTACGCTACCCGACAGCTCAGGGAGTATATTACTAATGGCTGCGAGTCCTCGGGAGGCGTACTGTTTTCTGGTAATTAAAAAAAATATTAATATAGTTATTATAATTTTGTAAAACAATACTACAAAAAATATACATATATATCTAATGGGGTTAAATTAATTTTTTTTTATTGAAACAAAAAAAAATAATTAGGTTTATGTCGACTATTCAAAGATATGGCCGCTAATGTCCGCACCGGTTACGTGAATCCTTCATCATTTAGGTCAACATTTATTCAATACCAACCAAAGTTTAGAGGATATGAGTGAGTTTGATATGATTTTATTGTATAGTTTATATATATATATATTTATATATGTATATATTTGAATGACAAATAAATTGATTGATTGATTTGTTTATTTATCAATTGAATTATCAGTCAACACGACGCTCAAGAGTTTCTAAGATATCTAATCAATGGTTTGCACGACGAAGTAAATAAGGCTAAGAAAAGACCAAAGACTAAACTTATTGAACGTATGTCTTATGTCTTTTAAAAACAAAGACTTATTGTTTATTGATTTAAATAATTGATTTCAATTAATTTGTTTTCTGTCTGTCTGTCTGTCTGACTGTCTATTAAACACACAGCAAATACATCTCAAGAAGCTTGGAATCAATACAAAGGAGTTATCGACGATTCCAGACTTATTGATCTATTTGTCGGTCAATTTTCATCGGTTATCAAATGTACGGAATGTCATAATACTAGCAGCTGTTGGGATCCGTTTTGGGATCTGTCGCTACCACTGCCAAGAAATAGGTTTGACTTTTATATATATGAGATAGAAAAACACATAATAGCTAATAATTATGGATTTAATATCGGATTTTCATAATAATAATTATTAATAAATTTTTGTTTTTGCTTTTATTAGAAGTCGTTGTGATATCGAGCGATGTGTTGAAGAATTTACTGCTCAAGAAGTGCTCGACGACGACGAACAGCCGGTTTGTCCATCAATTATATCAAACAATATATATATAATTGCGAAATAATATATCACTAATCATTGATTTTGATTGAATCCAATTAGTTTTGTTCGCGTTGTAAAAGACATCGGAGGTCTACAAAGAGATTAACTATTCAACGATCGCCACAAATATTGATATTTCGTATGTTTTTTGTTGTTGTTGTCTTCAATTATCTGTTATTAATTAATTAATTTCTATATATATTTGTATTGTTATTAGATTTAAAAAAATTTGCAAACGACGGCTTCAAGCTCTCCAGTCAAGACATTAGCGTCAATGAGAGCATTACTATAGACGGCCGGACATACCGTTTGTATGCCTGTGTCTGCCATCACGGATACTCATCGCGCAGTGGCCACTACACTGCTTATTGTCAATACGATAAAAAGTGGTATCATTTTAACGATGAAAGGTATGGGTCATTACATATTAAAAATACAGTAGATATTGATATTAATTATGGAAATACCTTTTATTTTCCAGAGTTAAGGACGTGTCGGACACATTCAACGCCTCCCGACTCAGCGATGCTTATGTACTCTTCTATCAGCAAAACAATGATTCAAATAACTATTCCTCAAGACTTTAAATTTATTTAAAAAAAAACAAATAAAATACAAGATACACATAAACGCACTCACGTGCGATATATCACACAATTATAATACACATATACACACAAATTTTATTTATAATAACACTTTACAAACATTATTAAAAAAAATAGTTTTAATAGACACGTACGATACAAGTATCAGTCAAAAAACACTAAAATTTAGTTTTTAAAAAATTTTAATAAATATTTTAACAAAAATAAAAATTAGAAACACAATTAGATTTTTTAATTAATATATATTTTTTAAAAAAATAACACACGAATAGATTTTTAATTAATATTATTACTATTATTATTATTATTAATACTAGAGTTAATTGGAAACAAATGCAACGAATCTTAAATTAAAGTATAAAAAAAAATATTTTTAAAATCAAATAAGTGACTTGAATTTTAAAATCATTAGAAACAAATAATAGTGTTTCCAGTAATTTATAATATATATTATATATATATAAACAAAAAAAAATTAATTAAAAGTAAAAATTTTACATCAAATGAATTCACAAATATTATATTATTCAATATATATTTAGATATTTAACAATCAATTCATTGCTATTTTAACAATTTGTTTACTATTTTAACAATTTGTTTACTATTTTAACAATTTGTTTACTATTTTAACAATTTGTTTACTATTATTATTATTTATCAATTATTTTTAATTCAAAGAATCGTTTTTATTAATAATTTTTATTTCCAATTATTATGTGTTTTAATATTTTAAAGTAATATTGTTTTTAAAAATAATATCACATTTTTACCAATTAGTTACAAAAAAACCCTTTTATTGTTATTGAAAAAAAGTATATTATTTTATTTCATATTGAATTACATATTTGATTTGATTTATTGCTGATATAAAATAATAATAATTTTGTGTGTAATTATTAAAGTATGATATAAACTTATTATTAAGTTATATATAAATATAGTCTATAATTTAAGTTATATTATTGTTAAAATTATTATTAATACTAAAAAAATAATAATAATGTTAGTTATCATTAAATTAAATTGTATTATGTTATAATATTGTAATATTTTTAATTGTTATACAATTATATAAATATATATGTAATTAATTAATTTACTAAACAAAAATAATACGGATTAGTAAAACAAATAAAGTATTGATATAATTTAAAGATACAAAAATATATTATTTAATTTTTATAAATACTACTTGTTTATTGTATTTAATATTTAATAATTAGAAAAATGGATAAAAAAAATTATCAACAAAATAGATCTATTGATAATTAACTGTGAAGTCCAATAATAATATTGATTTTTTGTGTTTAATTTGATTAGTTTAATATTTTTTTAATTAAAATTTTATATAAAAAAAATTCTTTCAATTATGTCAAATGTCAAAACTCTATTTAGTGTACAAATTGTTAGTTATGGCTAACAATTAGCACCAATTAGTGATTTATTTGCGAAAAATGTTTTTATTGTCTGAGAAAGTTTTTATGGCATTTAATGTATACTGTATTTCATTTACAATATATGGAAAATTACATTCAAATTTCAAAACTATAAATAAACATTTTCTCATAGAATTTGAATATTTAATTAGCAAATATTGTAATTTATATTGTATTTAATATACTGTATATATTGAATATATATATATATATATTTCACACAAACTTTCTCATGCAATAAACATTTTGTGCAAATAAATCACACAAAAATTGTTGTTAATTTTTGAGCCCAATATTCAATTATACACTTTAAAAGAGTAGTAAACTAATAATGAAAATCTTTAGTGTATTGAATAAAATTTTTATTTTTGTTACAATAAAGAAAACAATTAATCCATCTATTGTTTATTGTATTAATTTAATAATAATAGTTGATATATTTTTCACGTATGTTTATTACTTAAAAAAAGTTATTTATAAATTATAATACTGTAGTATATAATCAATAATAAAAATAATAATTACATTAATTTACGAAAATATATATCCTATAAATAAATAATTTTATTCAAAACTAACAGTTAATAAGTTTAACTTATCTTAAAAGTTAATAATAATTTTTTAAAAATTATAATACTTTAAAAATCATTTTTTTTAAAGTATTTATTTTTAATTAGCAAACTTGTTATCAATCAGTGACTACAGAGTCCACTACCGATACAGTAGTATAGGTATGTCCTCTCTCTCTCTCTCTCTCTCTCTCTGTTTTAAGCACACACATGCTGTATGTATGTGTGTGTGCGGTGGGCAGTGATGCGTAACGCCTGTAGTGACTGACCTGTGGTAATGTTACACTAGCTGTATGTGTGTGGGGGTGAGGGGGAGTGCGCTCCAAAGTACAAGTGCATTGCGCACCGTTGTGTGGATGGGCACCTGTGCATTCCCCCCCCCCTAAACACAAAACTGGTTATCTATATATATATGTTGGTGACGTTGCACTGGTATAGTATTATAATATGTTTATAATAGCAACGGGTTTTTGAAAATGCAAAACTTTATCAACCTATAGGCTATTATAGCTGTTTTTGAGCACAAGTATTGCAGTTTTTAAAACCATTTTGACAGTTGGAAAGTTGTCTGTATATCTATGTATGTATGTATGTATGTTTGCACAGGGATTACACGAAAAATACAGTATATTTTATTTTGAAAAACTAGTATTTCCAACGCTTATGTATGTGTATAGCTATGTGTATGCTGTATGTACTGTAAGAGTCCATGTGTTAGAGAGCCTCTCAATGTCTGCTAAACCAGTGATTTTGGACTTAGTTTTTTGAAAAAAATAAATTAGTGAAACATTATATGTATTGTATATTATATTTATTATAGTTATAGATATTCACCAAAAAAATAAAATATTAAAAACTAAAACCATCAATGTGTCAGCCATAATGTGAATACATATAAACTGTTTTTATATATATATTCATATATTATTAATAATATTATAATTTTTGAGAGGACATACCTATACCTTAACTAATTAATAATAACCGATCCGATATATATAGTAGTAATAGTGTTGACCAATAATTTTTTTTTTCAAATAACATACACATAACCGATGACAATGTGATTAACAAATAAATATATCACATATATATTGTTGTGTTGTTATTATACGGAAAAAGTTTTTTTTTGTTTGTTTGTTTCGTTGAAATTGTTGAAATCATTTTCAATACTATAAATAATAATTGTGTGTTTTTAATAATAATACTAATAATCATAAATCACATGTGATTTTATTTTTTGTCATAACTTAATATCATATACAGTATATATATTTGTGTAGTTGTATTTGTCGCTATCATATACACTGTATATTCCTATAAAATACATATTTGGATAATTAAAATAATAATAATAATAATCAGTTAAATACAAAATAGATTTTTTTTATAAATATCTTAATTTGTATTTTTTAAAAATAGTTATTCAATAGTTATTTAACATTAATATACACTAAACTATAGTCAACTAAATTGTCATAGTTGATTTTATATTTGTCATATAATATACATATATATTTAATTATTATTTGATACCCTTATTATTATTATAAACATAATAATATACTAAAAATATCTCATTATAATCATCACACGTGTTATTTTTCATCCAAATAAATAATCCAAAAAAAAAATCAATTGTCTTTATTGGGATATTTTTTTCTCTCAAATATATTTTGAATAACATATATAAAAAACATAACAACAAAAAAGTTTTTATTTATTTTGATAACAAAATGAAATTCAATGCATTTGTTGCTGTTTTCAACCAAAACTATTGGACACTAATTGTATGGACACTGATATTCATTACGTTTACTACTATTAATTCAACTCAAGGTTTGTAATAATTATTTTTGTTTTATTGTTTTCTATGGTTTATTTTAAATCCTATTTAATATATCATATTTTTAATATAAAAAAAATACAATACAAAACTATAATTGTTGTTTATAAGGGATTATAATCATAAATGGTTTTAATAATAATAATAATAATAATATTATATCATATTATTATTGTTTATATTTATATATTAAGATTATTTTATTTGTTATTTTTATTGTTTAATTCATATCATTATTATTATTATATTATTATTTTAATAAATAATTATAAGATAAAAACAAACTTTAGGTGTATATAATTATAAGTTTTTATTTCATTTATTTTTCATTGACTTTTTGTTGTTGTTTTGTTAACTAAAATCTTGACTAAACTAAACAATTAGTAATTTATTTTATTTTTTATTTTTTTGATTGTGAATACCATATATAATATAATATACATTTAATATGATTAAAAATAATTGTAATTTATATTATGATTAGTATTATTTAGTAATAGTTATCGTTTATATTAATTTTATTAAAATTTAGTTTTTTTCAATGATATCAACTTTTATTAAATCATTTATCAAAAAAAAATAATAAATAATTTTATAATGATATTTATATTTCAAAACATAGTTTTGTATTACGGATAGGAAAAAAATACTAATTAAATTTTCAAAAAAAAAATTATCATTTTTAATAAAAATAATAATAAATACGATATTAAATTATAGACATTAAAAAATAATAAAACAAAAATTAATTTAGACATTAGACTTCAACAAAAAAAAATTGCATAACAATTTTTATATACAATATATAAATAATTGAAAAGTTTGTAATAAATAACTCAAATAATTAAAGTCTATTGTTTGACAAATAATTTTTAGTTATTATTATATAGTTTTTTTCAATTTTAAATTCTGTGTTGACATTGAAATGACTGATAAAATTAATAGTTATATATATATATTATTTTTGTTGATTGGATTAACTGGTATGTATAGAAATTAAATTGATACTTATTTATAGTTAGTCTTTTACAATATACATATATATTTAATGATAATAATATATCTTTCAATAGTGTGTCAGTTAATAAAATAGATATTTTATTTAGATATCATACGGTGTGTGTGTGTGTATTGTGACATACACTTGAAATTAATGTTATATTCAAAACATTCAAAAACTATATGTTGTCTTAAATTTTGATTTTTTAAAAAAAAATTAGTTAAAACACTTGAATAATATATAAGTTTTTTTTATGACCCACTTATCTGTTGAACCGCTAGTGTATGTGTACTATAAGTCTCCACTCAATTGAAATCAAAAAATTCAATAGCAGTTCATATACAGTATACCGTAATATATATTATATAATATTATATATATATATATGTTTTGACTTAAACACAGTGGTGTTGATAAACCTATTTCATTATTATTATACTGTATTTTGAAAATAATTTCAAGACTTTAATCTTTCAAATGAAAAATAAAAGGTTTTTTAATAACAAACTGAAAATATTTATATATAAGTTATTTTGTTTTATTTTATTTGAATAAAACATTTTTCATGAGATAGACAGACAACAAACAATTGTATCGTTTAAATGGCTACTAAATAGACTATTATATATATATATATTAGACACAATATAACTGTAATTTTAAAGTCCAGATAACATAATTTAAATTTAAATAATAATAATAATAATAATAGTTTAATTATATTTAAATTATCTAAAAGAAATTTTTTTGTTTAAATAAAATATAATGTACTTTACAAAATAGTTTTTAGTAATCAAGTTTTTTTTGACCAATTTTATGACAATTATTATAAAGTAATTTGTTTTCATATAAATGATAATAATAATTAATACTAATAATTATTTAAATGATATAATTATTTTCAATTGAATAATATATTTATTTATTTTACTATAATTAATAATGCTATTTGTAATTTGTACAAATTTATTTATATATATATAATGACACCTTTACTTTTTTAGCTAATGTTAGTAAATTGTTTTATAAATCATTAAATTTATAGTTAAAAATAAATATATAAATTGAAAAATAATTGTTTTCAAAATAAAAACAAATTAACACCTGCGGTTTGTCTGCTCAAAACAGTTATGTCTAAATTAAAATCAAATAATAATAATACTTACTGTATGTCCTAAATATGACATTTCAATAAAGTCATCACTTTTTTTAAAAAAATAACAGATTAATAAATAATCAAATGTTTTATATATTTGAACGCTTCAGAGATTGACAATTAAATTTTGATTTATATAATTATCTATTTAACTATTTATATATACATACAATATATTTGTTTGATTTAATTATTTATAATCATAATTGACATAAAAATTAGATTATGATTTGACTTGACTTTATTTAAGGGTACAAATTATAGACGTTTTTTTAAAAAAATAAATAAATAATTTGTTAAAAACTTATTTTGTTTTTTGTTTAGTTTCTTACTTAACATTATGTCTGTTTCAAAACTACCTGTTTTTCCCAACTAATGAAATACATAACAAACTAGAAATAAAAGTTAAATATAATTTTTTTTCTTTGATGTGTCTGTTTTGTTAGTCAAAAAAAATATCAATATAATTATTATTCATAAAAATGATTGAAATGCATTATATTATTGAAAAGTAGTTCAAAGTTAAAATTATTTAGTTGTATATATAGTTTTGAGCAAAAATCTAATTATGATTACAATTGTTTTATAAAGTAATGGTAAAAACAATTCAATCATTTTTGTATTTTGATTTATATCATCGCCTAAACCCCTCTCTATTATATATTTTGTTGTAAACTTATTTAATAAAAGTATTAATCCATTTTTTAACAAAAAAAATATGATAATAAAAACAAATTAAAAATTTTCTAATCTTAATTTTAATTAATTGTTTTTTGGTAGCTATTTATATATTTAAATAATAAGAAATTTTTAATGATTTTTCGATAAACTTTTTTTTCTAATTATTATTATACTGTATTATATTATTATATATCAAATATTTTAATTTAATCAGTATTATAAAAATAATTTATTATATTTTAAAATCTTTTTTTTAAAAAAAAATATTTAAACTTTTATAAAACTAAATGCCTGATGAAACAAATTAGGAATTGATGTCAAATAGTTTTGTTTGTGAATATTCATTGAATTTTTATTTCAAGTTTTTTTTTGTTAAACAGTTTTTTTTTTGGTATTTTGTTATTTATTTAATTTTTTTGTTGCTGAAGATTTTTATTAAATACAAATTATTTTTGAATAAACTGTATATATTGTCGACAGTTTTTGTTTGTTTATTTGTTGTGTTTAACACAAAACGTGTTTAATTAAAAAATCTGTTTTATAATTATTTAGCATTAAAACTATTATTATTATTATAATCTTTGTTATTATTTTAAGACTAAATGATGTCTCAACCGTTACTATCAATAAATTATCAAAAAATTTCTTAATTTTCTAATTATTATTTTTCTCTCTGTTTCTCATTTATTATTATTTTTTATTTATTCGTTAATAAAAAAAAATATTTTTTATTTAATTGCAATATTAAATGTTTTATTATAATTTTAAATTTAACAAAATATGTGTTATCTATTATTTTTGTTCATACGATAATAGATTGATTAAACAGTTATATTATATTATATATACAATAATTGATAATAAAAAGTGGCACAAAATAGTGGTAATATCGGTAGTAATTATAATTAAGACATTCACGAAAAGTCCATTTAGTGTAAAAATATATTATTATTATTATTTTTAATTATTTTAAGGTTGATATCATTGGGTGATTAAATTAAAAATTATTTTGTTTATAAAATATATTAGTGATGTGTGTGTGCTATTAATTAAATATAAATTTATATACACTATATTTCTAATATTTATAATTAATTTGATATTAAATATTTAGCTAATAGTTTTCTATGATATTGGATATCATTGCCAGTTAGTTATATTGGAATTTTATACTGGTATAAGTTTATTATAATTATATAATGTAATTATTGTAATTTAATATAAAGTTTATTATTATAATAATTATTTATTAAAATGACTTTCACTGTCATTGAAATACGTGTTTCAATGCTACAAAAATATCAAATAATAAATGTTTTGTTTTTTGGTGGCATTTCATTGCCTTTTTTTATTAATATATATACCAAAACAAATGACACAAACTATTATCTATCGACTATTGGCTCTAATATTATAATGTATTAAATAATATACCAGTATATTACTAATAGACAGATTTGTTGACCATTTTATTAATTTGATATGTCATGCAAATGATACCAACAAAATAAAAATAAACAAAATAAGTTTATTATAATCTAATATATTTATGTAATGTCGATGTCATATACAAAAAAAAGACTACACACACAATAAATGCCATTCATCGGTGTCATCGATGCGCTCACCAGATATCCCGTCACCAGTGCTCCGACAGTTTGATCCCTCAAAAACGGGAAGTCTTTTGTATGTGTTATGGCAGTGGTGTCGTCGACACACTTCCTCAACTGCTGTTTAGTGAATGTCATGCACTCCCGAGCACTGGTATGGGTTTCGCTATCTATTCCCTACCATTGAAATAGAGAGAGAAACATATTATGCCATATGATATGCGAGGATTCACTGTATTTTATAACAACTAACAAAAATAATACAAAAGTAGTTTTTTTTCTCAAAAAAATAAATTAAATTAATTACAAATGAAAATATTTAAATATGTTTGTTTTAATGAACGTTTTAAAAATGTGTGATTGTTTTCTGTAATTTTAGTTAGCATTTAGAGACAGATATGAAATAATTTTTTAATTTAATTGTAAATTTTATTTCTCTCTCACTCACAAAAAAACTGTCTTCAATTAATTGAGTTTCTAGTTTATATAAATAATAATAAAAATTTGGGAAAAGATTAAGAAAAAACTATATATATATATATATAT